AATAAAATTTGAAGTAATACAAATATTTAAATATGTGTGTATACAGGGTGAGTTTTAATTGTCCCCCCCCCCTAACTTTTTTCTACATTTTTTCAAATATCAATCCCAGACCACTTTCAAACATTGTTGGGTAGTAAGTACTTCATTTTGACAAGGTGGTCATTTCCGGCCGCCATCTTGGATCCGCCATATTGGATGCAAAATTTTTTTTTCAAATGTAAAGGTGGGGTTGTGACCCGTTATTTCGAACTAAATTTTTACCCTGATTACAATGCCGCAAACCGTTTTTAAAAATCTTGATTCATTCTAAAGTTATGAGGGTTTTTTAAAACTTGATTTTTAGCCCATTTTAACATTATGCATTTATAAACTAAGACCATAATCTCAAAATAGTGCTAGATAAAGATAAGTATACACTACCAGTAATTGTCGACCTATTTTCACTTGGTTATGACTGATGTATTTTTTTCGGCCGCCATCTTGGATCTGCCATTTTGAAATGTGATAAATTATTTTAAATATGAAGGGGGTGTTGTGACCCATCACTTTGAACTACTTTTTTAAGCTAAACTCAATGCCGCAATCCATTTTTTGTTATCAAGTTTTATTTATGAAATATTGCAATTTTTTTGTTAAAAATGTCAATATTTCAAAATAAAAAAATGAATATGAAAAACGGATCATGGAATTAAGTTCAGCTTAAAAAAGTAGTTCGAAATGATGGGTCACAACACCCCCTTCATATTTAAAATAATTTATCACATTTCAAAATGGCGGATCCAAGATGGCGGCCGAAAAAAATACATCAGTCATAACCAAGTGAAAATAGGTCGACAATTACTGGTAGTGTATACTTATCTTTATCTAGCACTATTTTGGGATTATGGTCTTAGTTTATAAATGCATAATGTTAAAATGGGCTAAAAATCAAGTTTTAAAAAGCCCTCATAACTTTAGAATGAATCAAGATTTTTAAAAACGGTTTGCGGCATTGTAATCAGGGTAAAAATTTAGTTCGAAATAACGGGTCACAACCCCACCTTTACATTTGAAAAAAAAATTTTGCATCCAATATGGCGGATCCAAGATGGCGGCCGGAAATGACCACCTTGTCAAAATGAAGTACTTACTACCCAACAATGTTTGGAAGTGGTCTGGGATTGATATTTGAAAAAATGTAGAAAAAAGTTAGGGGGGGGGACAATTAAATCTCACCCTGTATAAAAGGTGGAAATAAACTATATAATTTTAAAGAAATATTACATCGAGTAAAGTAGCTTACTCAATTTAATGTACCAACAACTTTGTACATTAAATCAAGCAACCATTAAATTCAGATCTCTTGATCTGTAACATTAAACATATTTATTTTGTTTGCATCTAGTCACTCCACCGAATGAACAAGTTCAAAGAACGCCTCGCTTACAGTATCAACCTAACAAGCTGTTCATTTTATTCATGTTTTAGTGTATGTTCTTTACACTCATGTTAGGGTTGAATGCGTATTACATACAGTTCATTTGCTCTTTTGTATATTCGGTTCTACTTTGCTAACAGCTAGGATAGAAATTCTGAGACATGTTATATGGTATACAAAGTGTATTTTTAAAACTAGAGGTGGCACTTCAAATGCTCAAGTAATATGCTCTTTGCAGCGGTTTTCAACCCTTCACATGGAATCCAGATATATTTTTCACCACACTACGATTTTTTAAATACATACACAGATGTATGTATTTTTAGCTGTTTTACATACAGAACACATTCCACACATTTACATTGGTGGCTGAAAGTTACGTAGTGCTGGCCATGCCAGCTGTCATCTTCATTTGGGGACCGAGCAGGTTTTTACATCCCTAGGGCCGCAAAATCATGACTGCCCGCATACTCTCTTAAAACATGAATGCATATTAAATACACAATCAGTATCCATAGCATTGCAATAGAATTGTTTTATTGTCACCGCTGCCTAGCAACTATTTGTTATTATTTTTGCTGATTCCTCAAATTATTTCTTCACATAACCTTAAATTTGTAGTTGTGTTGACTATCAATGTGCATTATTATTGTGGTGAATAGTGGTAATAGGGTATAGTGTGGTGAGAAATATCGTTCGTACCACGGACCGAAATGGTTTTTGAAGCTGTCGATCGTTTTAAGTTCTCGACTTCGTCTTTAGCTGAAAAACTATCTCGAGCCAGTTAAACCACATTTTCGGCCCTAGGTACGAAATATACTATTTGTGCCAAATAACAATTGCCTAAATCATGGCTAATCAAATGATGCCGTAAAATCCATAAAAATTGAGGGATTTGAACAGACAACTTTCTCTAGAATATGTTTTGACTGTGCCATAGCACATGTCAATAGTGTAGACACAAAAGGCTATTTAGAATTTTTAAACCACGCATAGCACATTTTTTTAGATTGAGATTTAGGTTTATGTGACGTCAACAAAGCAACATACCAAAGTGCGCGTTTGTAGGTGAAGCTGGGTGAAGAATGAGTTCAAAGATCAGTTACCGACTATGATCACCTCGTTCTTTAGCTCCAACAATTTATTAAAATGCTAATTATCAAAGGACAGTTTGATCCGGTTTTGAACCACAAAACAGCTACTGGATTTTCTCAGGATCAAACCAGTAGAGCAATATATGCACTTATCTCGATAACCATTCGAATGATAGTCCCATCAAAGGCCACCAATGGTCTTTCCATGAAATTCTTTGTCCTTTTCCGCATACCTCTCGAAAGTGTCTCATGTCTAATAACACTACGTAGAGATGATTAGGTTTAATTACGTTAAAATATAATCTAATTTTGCAGTTGATAGTTCTTACATAAGTACAAAGCAAGGATTAAAAGAATGAAAATACGTTTAGATAATATGCAAACAAGAAACTCTTTATATATGAAACTCTAGATTCCATAGAACCAACTGGAGAGCATTCAGTGTAAAATGAAAACCTTAAATAATTTTTGGAAAGCCATAATAATCATATAAGAAATTAGTCCCACAACCTTTCTATACGTAAGGTATTTACTATGTAGTTGCTTATCTAGTGGTTTACTTATTTATTAACACAGATTATTGATGGATGTGTGTTAAATTGATTGATTTCTTTGCAAATTCAATTTAAGAAGTAATTGTATCCAAATATGCTCAATCATACTATTATTCTACTATGAAATTTGGATATATCTTTGGAAACTTACAAACTAGTTTAAACTGGCATGGCTAATAAATAAATTGACATAAAAGAAAACTGATGAAAACAGTCCTTTAATATTTTACCTATTGTGGGTTTATTTTTGCCGTTTGAATACTGATAGTATATAATTTTACTACATATATTACCTAAGCTAGTGGTAAAATTTTATTTTTGATTGTTAGTTTTACCTAAAAATTAAAATATACCCTTGATGCATGGTAAAGGTCCAATATTATTTAAGTTGAAACCAATACTACTAGAAAAGTAGTAATGTATTAGCTAACATGCGTTTAAACATAACCGATAGCAAATTATTCCGTTACAAGATAGGTACAATCAGCAAGTATAACAAGTATAGCAAGTATAACAAGCAAGTATAAGTATGAGTTCATTGAGTCATAAAAGTGTTCAAAAAGTACTTAATGAAGGTGTACTAAATTCTTTGTTTGTAAGTTGTACAAGATTTTCAACAACATGAGATAACCGAGGTTAGAAGTTGTTCAAGTTCCCTAATGACAGCTTACTACAAACTAAATGCCCTTACACGCCTGGAAACTTTGGTCCTTGTATTTAATACAAACTTTCTGGGTGGTTCCTTGCTTATTTGGATTTTAATAAATTAATGACCCTGGCTAGAGGACTAGAGGAAATACTAAAAATAGTTGAGAATTAAAACCATGTCAGACAACTAAGGTCACTTTTCTTGAGAGAGCACGAGTTGTAAGTTAAGATAACAGATCGGATGAGTAGTAGCATTGACTATGGGATACAGAAGTTGTGTATTAATAGTCAAAGGTAGTAGACAGAGTTAAGAAAAAGTCATGACGATTAACGTAATAAAACACACCAGTCTTCAATTTGGTGTAATCAAATTTTTTTCAAATACATACGTCATCTGTCTGCTACAATATGCATCAAATAAAAGGAGTTTGGAAACAGAATTGTGAAATGTTACATACAAATGCTATAGTTGTAGTGAACTTTATAAAAAGATCACATTCCTTATAAACATTTTTACAGAGGACTTTTAATGACGAAAAATAATTTTCTTATTCCAAAGGGATGTATTTCAAAATATAGTAAACTTTAATGAAAGGAATATAAAGAAAATATTTTTATTACTGAACAAAGAAACTTTATCTGTTAAGGGGGTGGTTCTGGATGTGTTATGTAACCCTATTGAAAGGAGAAAATCTTTGCCATTACAAAGGCATTGCCCACCTTCTGTTGTTACATAACAAAGCGCTTGTATATTAATTAGCTTTAAGAATCTAGAAAATACTGACGTTTCTATCAACGAGCTAACATAAAATTTGAATTAAAGATGTTAATGATTAAAGTTTATAGGCAAAACTCGTCCTAGTGAGAAAACCTGCTCTGATACACTTAAATGCCAATAATTCTTTGATTTTTTAAATTCTAAGCTGAAAATAAATTGAATATAAACACTTTGGTTAATGAGTCATCCTAAATAACAATAGTCAATTTTCACTGTATGATTTCAGATTGAAGTAACATGTTGAAAGGACAAAAAACTGTATTGAAATATTTATTGTAAACAGTTTAAACAGTGTCAACAATAACATTTTTAGTGAAAACTTAAACTCTGAAATTATAATGAAAAAGAAAGCAATGGACGGACTTGGCCTTATAGCTTTATATTGGCGTGGAATAAAAATCATTTGTCTGGTCTAAACCAACAACTAATCAGTGGTTAATAATTGTTGGTTTTCACACTGGTTTTATTAACAAGGTTTTGATAGTGAAGGTAATTAAAACAGCAACAAATAAAACATTAAATTTATTTATCAATATTAACAGTAATATGGTTTAGAATGGAATTTCTAAAAGTTTAAGCTGACTAAGAAGCTTATCGTATAAATATAATGTTTAGCCTACATTGTAGAAAAATAGCCTAACATGAAATCAAGCTGGAGGTTGTGCTATGTTTGCATACGTAGGTCCCTGTTTATAATTAGTATATGTACATTGTCGAATGATATGTACAATGCATTTTATGATAACAGTGAAAACATACAAATCATTATTTGCATGTTAGTTTAATCAGCTGGATGGTAAACTTAAACGATTCAAACCATACATAATAATATCTTGGTAATAGAATAAGCTGGTTATTCACAATCTTAGTTCGTTCATACTCCTCTTTAAGTGGAATGTTGAGTTTTAACTAGTCTCCCCTCGTTTTAACAACAATTTGGTTACAATTAGGTTTATGATTTTAGATGAACGTAGGCAACAAAGTGTTCACATAGGAACTGTCTCAGTATCCAATTAATTGAAAGTGGAATAAAATTTGAACAACGTTTTGGTTGTGACATATGGGAAAGATATTTGCCTAGTTAGTGCAATTATGTCTAAAGCATTTTTTCCAAAGTTGTTCGTCACGCTTATAATGCATGTTTATCTGATGCACCATGCAACGTTTTCACTAATAATCTTTAACTGATGATGAAGAGTAGAAAATTAATCAAATATTATACCCAGCATGGAGGAACAAAAGTTTAATAGACCTACAACATAGCTCATTCAACCTAACTGATTCCAAGACTTCTGCAAATAATATCAGTACAAATTGTGCCTCAACAAAAATATCATTCGAATTTTTATATAAAATTGACTTAACTTATGACTTATTTACATTTCACTTTTACATATTTTTTAAAAACTATTCACCTATATTCTCTGAAGAAGCTGTAATCCATTTTAAAGAATATTTGTCTTAAGATATGACAAAATTAATACTAACTAGCTTAATTAACCACTTTTATGAAACACCATAATTAGCGAACAAATAAAACTTAATTTTGGGATGATTTAAATTTTAAAATCAATTATCCGTCCAGAAGATGGTATTAGAAATAATAAACTATCATTTATAGCTTCTGAAAATTTGATAAGAATACTCATAGGAGTTGATACTCTTAGGTATAAATAATGTCTCTGTAGTTGTAAACGTCTTTGGATGATTGGTTTTAAGTACTTAGTGATTTCTGTAATCATTGATTAATTAAATGAAATTAAAATTAGTCTTTAATTATGTTCCTGCGTTGCTTTATCAGTACAATTTCTTCATGTTCTGTGGCAGCTAATCCCTTGCTTTGCTCAATACGTTCCACGCACATGGACGGCCAAATGAAAGTTTGAAGAGAATTTAAATTTATTGAAAAAAAACGAAAATCTTCATAAAAGAAAATAATTAATATTAATTAAAAGAGAATCGAAGGCTTAAAGTTAATTAAAGTTTACCGTTAGCTTTTCTGTTAGTAATTTGATCAACGGAAAATAGTACATCTACGAATAATTACAATGCAGAATACATTTGTAAACTTAATACAAACTAGTTTCAATTAATTACAAAACCAAACAACAACTACCCTTACTAATCATATACCTGATATTAAACAACTAATAAATATTTATTTGTACAACAGATATAAAATATATAACATTTTACATAATATTGTCTTAGTAAATACTTGTCATAATACAACAAAAATTATATTTATTTGTTAAAAAATATAAACATATGTTACACAGCCTGCTTAAGGTAAACACACGCAAGTATGGTGTTGATAGATATGGTTAAATGGTGTCTCTAGAAATGGTTCCTATCTACTGTGGAAGCTGGGATAAACATGGTTCATTGGTTTACACATACACGTCACAATGGAAAACACTTAGTCACTTATCAAAAGATAACTTCTTACCTAAAATATCTAGTTTACGAACGTTAGGCGGTACAAGGACATTTAAATCTTTCTTAAAATTGGTAAGATAAAAACTATTACAAACCTTGCTTTCATAACAGTTACATACTTTTTGTTCCTTTAACGGAATAGTTTTTCAAAATATCAATTTTTGTGTCGTAATATTAAACGTTTGATCTGCAAGGCACTTTACTCGTAGGCCTACTAGGCAGGTTTAATGAGGAAGTTACCATTTTCAGAGATTTATAAGAGGATATAAAATGGTATTAAAAGAAATAATGACCAATTTAGTTACAAGAAGGTTTAAAAGCTGAAGATTGATGATGATTGAAATGATCATAAGCAATATCGCCGTTGGCTAACCTTGCCCTGCTTAGTTAATCATAAGTTTAAAAGCATATAAATATACTAAGTATTTTAACAGATTTAGAAACAAATTCTCATACGTAAAACTAACATAAAAGCAAAATGACTTTTAAAATATCAAACATCTCCTCAGAAAAAGGTTCCTGTTCAAACTATGAAACTAACTGAAAAAGAAGGTGGAATACATTTAATACTCAGTGTAGGCACATAATTGAGATAAATAAATACCTCTTTCATCTGGAATCCTAGTGTCAATGAAAGTCAAAGTCAATGAAGAAGTAATGGATTAATTACGATAGTTATGAATATTTTTAAACTGTATTTTATGTTGCCCATTAAGTAATAGAAAGCTGTAAGGGACTTTTTAACTCGCTGTTTTCCTGAAGTATCGTAAATTAATATTTTATTCAAGCAAATAGAACGAGTTCTAGGAAACCTTTAATTGTGAAAATATTGAACCTTGATTAAATTATGATGTAAGCCAATCTTTTTTCGAATGTATGGTTTCTTAATTGTTTGCACGATGTTAAAGGTAACTCGCAAATATTGGCAGTCTTAATGATTTCAGTCTAACTGCTAGCAAATAATTCAATAAATAAATTACCTCAACAAAGAGCCACGTGTTTTAAGAATTGAAATACTACGTTCAAAATAATAATAAAACCAAATATTGTCTCTAGTAATGAATAGTAAAGCTCATATTGAGTTGACGCTTAAAAATATGTAGTGAACGTCAAAAATAGATGTAACAACAAGGATAATGGCCCAATAACTTTTTAAACAATAGCCTTTTCGAAATCGTTCATTAATTTGTCACAAATAAACTATTTCATAGTTTTTTTTCTTACTGAATGTTTCTAAAAATTAATAAAACTATGTCACTCAAACCCACAACATTGTAAATTATTGTTTGGAAACAATAAGTTACCATATTGTGAGTGCATTAAACAGGCTCGATCCTGGTCTATCAAACCGAACATATTATAATTAACTCACTACACAAAGGCTGACTCTATTATGTGATCTCGGATATTATAGCCATTTGGATATGATCAGTTTGCAGCAGATATGATGAACGCTCGTCATTTATCACTTTGGGATATGATGATCAGTTCAGGGGGAGCTAAGACTGCTGGAAGACGTTGCGCTTTGGACAAGTCTCACTGTATGTCAAACTCTGGTTCTGGAACAAGCAAATGCAACGTCAATAATGGATTATTGTGTATCTTCGAGCACCATACAATCTCCTCTAGCAATCTTAAAAGGTCTAATGTTTGACAGAATAATTAATACTGTCAATCGTAAAACAAACTGCATGATGTATGTAGGTGTGAACTATCAGCATCAGCTGACTGATAGTTTGGTTTTATGTTTACGTTTTGGATATTTTGCTGTTGTCATGGTGAATAAGAATTGGTAGAGTTTGATTTTATGGGTTTAAGTGGAGAAAAGAATGTCTGTTTTTGTTGTTAAATATTCTATGTATAAAATATAAGTATGTTGTAGAAAGTTCTGAAGAGTTTATTTTCCTACAATTTATAAATGCCATTATACACTTTAAGCCTGGTTTTCCCAGGCGCGGAAGTGGAGAGTGGAGAGAGGAACGCGTAGAGCGGACTCCACTTGTCTTAGGTAATTTAATGTTACTCACCATGTTAATATCTTTATCGCTCTCCGCGTTCCTCTCTCCGCTCTCCGCTTCCGCGCCTAGGAAAACCCAGCTTTAGAGTTTCCGTGTTGTATTCCAAGTAAATAAACAACTAACTAAATGTATCTAGTTTGTAATAACTACGTTACCACACGGTGAAGTATTGAAAATCTGTCGTTGATTTAAAATTTAAATTGGGAGGTGATTTGCATTATAATAAAGGTTGAAAAACATTTTTTAGTCCAAACCTTCGTAGAGCGACATCAAGTCAATGTTAACAACCAATTTTGGTAGTATGTTAAGAGTATATTCCTGTCAACTTACTCTGGAATGTCCGGCTCGGGAGGCGTAGGCCTAGTGCAGCATAGCCTGAGCCAGCAGGGCGGAGGCCTAACAGCGCGGGCCGAGGGTAGAGGGGCGGCTTGCTCTGTATAGACTCCGGAGACGTAGGCGGAGTTGCGGCGAGGAGTAAAGTGGTGAGGCCGCAGAGACAGGTATGTAGAAACACTCTTGGCCACCGCAATCCGTACCTGGAGAGAACGAATAATGAGATGAAACCCCTAAAGAGTCCTTGGAGGATAGCGGCCATCTTGGATTATTTCAAACAGCTGTTGAAGTCATCTAACACACACATTTTGTATTTACCATCCAAAAATATTCTTTCAAATAAGCTACCAAAGTGATTGTATCATAAATATCTAGTACTCTGTGGATCAGAAATTTTCTTTTTAGTTTTTTCAATTGTTTTCCAAGGGAGTCCATGAAAGCTAAAGGCCATCGTGGATTTTCCTGACATAAAAGCAATGTTAATTTTGTTAATTTCAAACAATCGCTGAAGAGTTATTTACCATCTCAAAATATTTTTTTAGATACGAAAGTAATTGTAATTTTTATATCTAGTGCACAGTGGGATTAGAAATCGTCTTCCTACATTTTTAATTATTTCATGAGCTATAACGTCTTGGCTCCAAGGACTCTTAAGTAATCTTCTCTTTTTTTAGGACATATTTTTAGTGATTTTGTGAGGAAAGAATAAAATATCACACAGAAAAACGACCAAATGAAATACATTTTAAACACAATGTACAACCCTCGATAGCATTTTAGACGGAAATGCAAAGTGAACTACCTATATAAAATAAAATATAGGAAACTAATATACGTAGAAACAAACTAACACAAATTCCAAATGGACCTGCATATAGTCTTTTTAAGCTTAGTACAAAAATGTGAGTTATCATATTTTAACACACTGCGTAGCCTCTTAAATTTTTTTTATCATTTCAATGTGAAGCTTAGAGACCAATTTATGATTAAATTCATTTAATTAAGTATAATTAAATATAAATTAAGTCAATAGCAGATTTTTTTATGTAAAATATGCCATCATAGTCAAGCTCCATTAGCTTACGGAGGTAAACACAAAGCAATTGGTATGATGGGCCAGAGACAATTACAGTTTGTTTGATGACAGAGAAATGTAAACTAAACAACCGCAAAGCTGTTGTAACAGCGTTCCAACTACTATCAACAGTTTTGTTTGTTTTCACTCAGTAAATATATTCTATTTTGAAACAATCAGTTTGGAACAATAAAACATATTTATAAACAATGTAGGGATCTAAATTAGTTCCAGTTTATACATCTTTTAGTGCATAGAGATCACTCTAGTATCTGTTTCATTTTGATAGCTTGAAACATTATAGGTGAAACATAAGGAGCAACCAGTGCACTAACCTCTCCATTTAAGAAGCAGTAGAGGCAGGCGATGATGAGGCCTTGGAAGGAAGTAAGGAAATGTGTGGTGTAGGACCAGACCGCGAACTCTCCTACAGAGCGGTCTAGAGGAGCCTCCACCATGTTGAGGAGATTGGTTATACCTAGGAGAGGAAGAAGGACTACAGCTGCTCTTACAGCTTTCCTGCAACATATGGGGTAGTAAAGTACACAATCACACTTTATCCAATTGATCACTTGATTTTGGGTTACCTCTATGATGGGAGAAGGTTTGAATCTCATTAAATTACACGTAGAACCTAATATAACAGTTAACCATAATGTTTATAAAAGTATAACGTTGTATCACATTTCAAATTTATACCTCAAAAATATAGTAGAGATTTATAAATTGCGCTGTTCAATGGTTGAGGCTCATACACAATATGAAAAGTGAAATAATGGTATGGTGAAACTAGAAGGTAATTTGAAAATAAATGATCATATTTAAACGTTATTGAGGACAACAAATAAGCATTTAATGGCAAAGTTTTAGCAAACCTTTTCTGATGTGAGAATATTTTGCGCACTATTGCTAAGCTTTCAATATTTTAAACGGAAAGAATTCATGGTGTAGTGGTTTTGATTTTCAAAATTAATTTAAGAATCGTCACAAGATGCTGACAAATGTTTGATTTGATCTCTCCACTGACAACAGAGAAAGTGTTAAAACTTTGGCAGTGGTCTCAAGTTGGACTAGTGATTGATCACAACAGACGACAATGTTTGATTACAAACTGGAACTTTACCAATTTTGTGAAAATACCCAGACTGTGAACAGATGCGCTTCAACAAACACTGAATATTCCAATAAATACGGACTGTTTGTTGAATAGTTTACAGCAAACGATGATAACCTTTATCCAACTAAATATCCGTCACAATCAGATAAAACTTCATAGGTGTTTTAACTACTCGTATGCGATACATTGATAGATGATTGATGATTGATTAAATATAATAGCTTAATATAAAAGTTGTACTGCAGGCCTACTTTTACTTTACGATGCTCGACACACCACCGAAGCGCGTATACTTGTAGGCCTACGTTAAGTAAGTATGCATACGGTGAATTTATTACTTTTTATGTTTAATTTTGTGTATGTACCATTGTGATTCAAACTGCTATGTAATGGGGAAAATCAAGATCTTATGTGAGGACTGATGTGGTGATTTAATTGCCGAAATGCATTTCCTATTTACAACGATCAATTGGCGGACACAGATAATTTAGCCTTTCTGATTGTCTATACTCTATAATGGTGAAACAAACAAAAATGAAGATTCAGTTGATTGTGCCGGATTTTTTTATACGTGTTTTATTAAAAAAAACCTAATTACTAGTAAGCTGTTTAGTCACCTCACCTTATAAACCTTGATCAATCAACTTGTATATTGGGTTATACAAAGTTAGTATCAATGCCTAACAACACTTATTATATTCCTAAACGACATGGTATATTAGGTGAGGTCAATATTTCAGTATGATAATTAATTAAGAGTCGTGGTTAGGCGCTCACAATGATTGCGTGAGAAGAGAAATAACCTTGAAAACGCCGCACGTTGATTTTGGTGCGGCGAAACGTCGGTGTTGAGAACTTTGGTCTGAAATTTTAAATTTAGTTTTATTTTTATTTTTGTATATTTTTATGTGCAATGAACTGTGTATTATTGTGATATGACAAGGACTGCGTTCTCGTGATTTCAATAAGGTGAGTGATGCCCAACAAACAATTATCATACTGAAACACTTATTATAGAGCACAATATTAACTTTAAAATATTTTTACATAAATTATATTTTTCTCAGCTGAAAAGAAATAGATCCAACTAACCTCACTGACAAAAATTACAGGATGAAAACTTGTATTCAATAATTTAGAATTACTTCTACTTTCCGTGTCCGGAAATCGGGAAAAAATTGAGAAGTTAAGGTATAATTAAAACTTGTCTAGCTGATGTATGTTTAGTTGGAATATCTCTGTCCCAGTTTAACATACACATTGAAGACTGAACTGATATTTACACTTGTGACATTATCACTCGGGACTAACCTGACTTGTTCAGTCTCGCTGGTGTGACTCTGTCTCAACTTGACCACCAACACTCTGATGATGTTCAACAGGAACAGGAAATTCAACTGGAACATAGATAATCAATCAGGTTTAACGCACTAATAGAGTATATAAATTTGGTTTAATTATTTAATCGGTTAATACAGTACATGCAAGTAGATTCATTTTTGGAGATATTATAGCTGCCTCCAGGACGTTTCTAACCAGCCATTCATCAGTTGGTTTGTTGTTAATTGTCTTTTGTTGTATATAAATATTCCATTACTTTGGATTAGTAAGGATTTTGTTGTTATACTAAAACTACGTCTTGAATTGTTATTTCTGGGAAAATCAAAACTTAAACTATTACGATGAATTAGTAAACTCAGAGCTACGCCCTCATGTGCAAGTTCACGACAGCCTAAGGAATAGAGAGGATAGGTACCGTGTTGCTCACAGTTTACTGATACTGATTTTATGATTCTATTGATGGTACGCAAGCATATCAGTTGAATAAGTAACAGTATATTATAAACATCGAATAGGATTTTCTTTCAGGATATACTTAATAACTCAGTAAAAAAATAAGCTGAATATGGCTGTTTAATATTATATTATCCTTCACAAACATATTCTTATGGATTCCTCAAACTAAAATTGAACTGAAACTTTGCAATAAAAATAACTGTGGTTAATATATCAATTTTGTATATCAAATATATCAAGTAGACAATGGTATGTAAAGTATATGTAAAAAAATACCAGGCAGAGCTAAATAACCCTCATATTTTGTGATGTATATATGAGTGACCTTCTAGCTGTTTCATTACTGACTGTCATGCTGTTCATCAGACGTGAACATCTTAGTCTGAAACATTGTATGACAATAACGTTAGTTAAGAATAAAAAAAAAACATTTAGCACTGTGTTTAATGGACTTTAGTTTTGGCCGGTAATAATTGTTTACATTACTTTGGTTTTGGAGCTGGGACCTGCAGTGATAGTTCTTAATTTATGGAGAAGATCATGAAGCTAATTAAAAATCAATTTATTGAAAATTACGTCAATTAAAGTTATCATCAACACTAGGTGTTTGAAGTTCATTGTTGGTGATGGTGAGTTAATGCTGTTCAAAGGTTTATTGCGGACATTTTCCATCACGAATGTAAAAAAATAATACACAACGTTTCGGGATCTGGAATCTGATCCCGTCCTCAGGTGAGAAAACTTAACTAACACATTACAACTAACAATACACAAACGCCCAACCTAAGTTGGAATACACTACACAGGGTAGCAGTAAAAAAATATGCACTGTATAGCAGCAGTCAAGTCATGATACAAAATGCAAATAATAACAAATCACAAAACACTATAATCTATAAAAGGTTTAACGTAAAAAAGCTCACACAATGGAACACTAATACCACCGTTCGCAATGACTCCAACAATAAAACTGCACAATGTATTTTGTGATTTGTTATTATTTGCATGTTGTATCATGACTTGACTGCTATACAGTGCATATTTTTTGACTGGTACCCTCTGTAGTGTATTCCAACTTAGGTTGGGCGTTTGTGTATTGTTAGTTGTAATGTGTTAGTTCAGTTTTTTCACCTGAGGACGGGATCAGATTCCAGATCCCGAAACGTTGTGTATTATTTTTTCATTCGTGATGGAAAATGTCCGCAATAAACCTTTGAACAACAAAACTAGGTGATTGAGATATTGCAACTCGAATTGTTCGCAGAAAATATATACTAATGCAATAAGGTAGTATAACATTATTATGACTACGGTATTACTTATGCACAGCTTAGGAAACATGAAAGTTAAACATTCAGGCTTAGAACGCTTTTCATAAGATTAATTAAATCAACCAAAAAGGCCAATATGTCTGATAAAAAATAGTTCGTAAGAATTAAATTGGATCCATTACTACAGTTATTTAACCTCTCATTTCCCACTCAACCTCTCTGACTGTAAATACCTCAAATAAATTAACACAGAAGAGCACAATATAGCGGCAAACACGAACAACACCCACCAAAAACATCAAGTACTTAACCTCTATAATGACTGTCAACCGCTTATCTGTGGCCTACTCTTGACATTGTTCATTACGATAATGAAGACTCAATGTATGAGTGAAGAGTGACAATCAAGTGTGACTCGCTACATGCTGTGGTTTACTGCCGTGATGGAGGGGACATTCAGGATCAACAACTGTTGTCATAATGATAACTAGGTAACAGGAAACTTGAGGTTTATTACAGATTCGACGATTTAAATTCCTAATTCCAAACTATATTGATTTATAGGTATAGGTTGAAATTAAATTTCCTGATAAATAGGGACGTTCCGTTGTTCTTTAACTCCGAAACCTTGTCGTAAAAAAAGTTATAAATGGATGCCTTGTAAAAAGTTCAATGTCATTTTTTTCTCCATTTGATAAGTAGAATATGTATATTGTTTGACAGTTTAAGATTTGTTTGCAAAAGTGGTAAATTTTGTAGTTTTTTATTTCTTTCCACCTCATTACAGCAAAAAAAAAAATTAAGTGAGAGTATTAAAAATACGCAAGCATTAAGAGGAAATGTTTGGTTTAAGGTCAACTGATATTTTTATGTAGCCTATGCCTATACTAGTACAGTTCACTGTTTATAGACTACGTTCGTAGACTTGGATTTGAATCTATTGTTTTTTTTTATTTAGCTGATGACGTCAGCGTGAGGACTGTACCAGACAGCTGGTATTGTATAATACCCTCGCCACAGCAAACCTGCAGACTAAGCGAATTTCTATTTACCTGGCTAGATTTATTCTAAAATATTCCCTAAAAATAGTCAGATTTATTTTCTATTTAATTAAAATCTATATATAAAGCCAAAAGTACCCATGAACTTTTGAGAAAACTACAAGTCACACCCCCATAAACCATATACTTAAAATGTTCGTCATGACGAGAAACCTTGCGCAAAATTATCCATTATTTCATAAGTTGCCCTATAAGGTCGTAATTGCTTTCCAAAGGGAACTTTCCATTTACCTAATGTTAAAAATACCTCAGCTATTATTATTTGTTTGTATTCTGCTTTGTTTATTTCATCTTAACTTAACCAATCAATAGTTTTATTAATTCTAATGTAGTAAAATGGGGTGGAGCCCGTGGGTAACAGCTAGTATCAATAATGTCTACTTGGCGATACAAAGTGCAGTGCCTTGTATCTGGGTTTATTTTATTGTATAAACAAAAACCAAAGTAAAAATAAAAAAATAAACCAAAATAAAACCAATAAACTCAATCTGGTTTATTTTAATTTTATGTTATTCTGATTCAGCAAAGCAAATAGAGTTAACAAATGAATTGATGACATATAGTAAAATTATTTGTGTTGAATTATTTAGAGTTATATTGGAAACAAATGTACAGATTGTACAACATTTATAAAATATTTGATACAGTACGTCTCATTGTAAAACGTAGATTCGGGTACAAATAACTTTTTGTTTGAGGTCCCCACGACAAGGTGAGCACGACAACTTGAGGAAAAACTATCTAATTTCAATACAATAATTTAGGTCAAACATGTAAACCAAAATCTTTTGAACGAGTACACTAATACTAAACACAATTGGTATTTGGGCTATAATCTGATAAAACTGAGACATTGAAGCAAATAGATTATATTGAAAGTATTGTTTTCTTCTAATTGGAATGCTGTCAGTGGGTTTGTAATTTATTCAATGTGTTTCTTAGGGCAAATTAAAAATATATATTTGTGTCAAATATGCATTTTGTATTTTAAAATTTAGGAACAAAGTAAATTAAATAATTCACTATCAACTAATACCATAAAGTTCTAGTTGTGCTCTGTTCTTTAGCCATAGGTAGGCATATTACAACACTAAGGAAGCTATGGAATAGGTATTAGGATAGTACACGTACAGTATTTAGATTTTTTAACTTTGACTCTTATAAGGATTTCCATAGCAACAAGGTAAATGTTCACTCTGAATTCGATTTGATTTTGATAAACAAGTCTAATTATGTCTTCTGTGTTTGACGTTGAATCTCTCGTGGAGAGGAAGCCCTCGAGGATGCGTGTCATCCTTCCTGACCTTGTCCGTGCTCTGCTCTACATAACAGGTATCATCTTGTGTATTTTCTTTCCTACAGTCCCGTTTGCCAAGTGGATCTCTGCCAAGTTGTGGGACCTTTTGAAGCAGCTTGTGAGCAAATACTGCAACACTCCTGAGATGCCAGACGACATCGTAGCTTAGCTGAGGTACAAATTTACCAGACTCTACCAGGCATGAGCCACAAGCTACGGACTACGTTGACTGCTGACTACGGGATATTGACTTCAAAATGCTGACTAAGGACTGTTGCCTACAGAATGCCGACTATGGACTGTTGAGTACAGAATGCCGACTATGTAGTGTTGAGTACAGAATGCCGACTACAGACTATTGACTACAGAATGCCGACTACAGACTATTGACTACAGAATGCCGACTACGGACTATTGACTACAGGATGCTGATTGCTGACTGCTGACTTCTGACTACTATCTTATGACTACTGACTACTTGACCAGAAGGCGGGCTGATGACCCAGGATCCCCTCACACCATCGTAACATCTTATGGGAAGCCCGCCACATCACATGACTCCGATCTACAATACTGACCAGGCTACTATCTACTACAGACTAGAGATTGAGGAAGAACTGCACTACAAGCACAATGACTACACACTTTGAGGGGGTCCAAACCCTGGTCTTGTTACTATCTAATTATTTTCATCAATGTGAAACTGATGGTTGAGGGCAAATATGAATTTCAGAGATTTTTCACTAATAAACAGTTTTGAATAATGAATCTAAAGGTGTCTTTCGAATCTTTTCTTTTAAGAGGTTTAAGCCATTCGATAATCGAACTTAATAAATACTGTACAAACTTTAGTAGATGCAACAATAAAAATTAAATAATAACTGTTTAACTAACATGAAATTTAAACAACAAGAAGGAATCGACATTACAGAGTCAAGCGACGAGGATGGGATGGTTTATTTAAATTGTGAGTGTTAAAGGAAGTAGTGAATTTTGCGTTCTATTTAAATACACTAAGCAACATTAGGCCAAGCAGAACAATTTCGGAAAACTATATTGGTAAGTTGGATGAGTCTGATCCAACTTGAGTTTGGTCCACAAGTGGAATCATTTGAGAATTATCATGAAAGGTTAGTGCAGTTTTTGAAGATAAATAAAGTCAAGGAAGAAAATAAAGTTCCTTTCTTTATTTCAATACTGGGGCTAAAAATTTTATTCCATTGCTAAAAGCTTGTTTCTACCTCAAAGTCCTTGTAGAAGTAAGCTTAGATAGAATGATTGAAGTGGTGAGCAACCATTTTGTTCATAAACGAAATAATTACCATAGTTACCATCCTCTTGACCGTTGACCATTTCTGGATAGGTCACGTCAGTAAAGATACAAATATCACTTTTGAAAGGTTTCAATTTTATAAAAGGAACCAACAAGAAGGGGAAAGTATTTCCAACTATGCAGTTCAGTTTTAAAGTTAGCCTCAACATGTAAATTTGATTCCTTTTTAGATGACGCCTTAATATAAGAGACAAATTTCTTTGTGGGTTGAGCTCAAGTACAATACAGAGTAAACTATTGTCAGAGGGGGGAACTCTCAAGTTTGACAAGGCATTAGAAATGGCTTTATTGATTGAAAATTCTGAAAGTAGTGCAAGGGCTTTACATCAAGATTGGTATAGGAATAAGTCTAGTTCCGATATAAATTGGGTAAGGCAGCAAGCTCAATTTCTCAAAAGTATCACAAGCCTAGGCCTAAAAATTATGACAGTGAAAGTGGAAAGCAGTGTTTTCGTTGTTGGGAAAAGCATGAAGGTAAGAATTGTCCCTATAAAGATTACAATAATTGTACTTTGTGTAGGAAACGTGGTCATTTAGCCATAATGTATCGGCAAAACAAGAATAGGAACAAGGTCAAGTCTAGAATAAACTATTGTGATGATAGGTCTAACAGTGGCGAGGATGAACCTCCTGCTGAAGAAAAAGGCTCGGCTTCTGGTCAAGGACAGGATGAATTTGAAATATTTACCATAGCCCATTATGGCAATATAAATAGGCCTAAGTCAAAGAGCTTCACATGCAAGGTGTTGGTAAATAATATACCATTAGAAATGGTCATAGATGCTGTCTGTGGTCATTGTATTACCAGATATTCAGTACATTTTAACATGTGTTTAAAAACATATACTGGTGAAAATGTTGAGGTGTAAGGAGAATTTCAGGCCAACGTTCGGACAGAAGATGGTCAACAAAAGCAGTTGCCTGATGATAGGCAACTATAGGCAAAAATAGTCGTCAAAGCTGCTAATCAACCTTTTCTCATGGGACGTAATTGGTTGGAAGTGCTACAGCTAGACTGGAGTAAGATAGCTCGATATGTACATATTGGTCAAGGACTGAACAAACTAAACGGCAAGACTGTTCAAATTTGTAATAGTCTAAGAAGAAATGAAGAAATACATTTCCAGTTTTTATGTTAATTTTGGGGTGATTAAAGATGTCACAGTGGATTTAGTTTTAAAGGAGAACGTAACTCCAGTGTTTTGCAAGCCACACAATGTACCGTTTGCATTGCGTACATCGGTAGAAAAGGAGTTGGAGGACTTACAAACGAAGGGAATAATATATCCAGTAATTAAATCAGATTGGGCAACCCCTATAGTTGTTGTAGCGAAACCAAACAATTCAGTAAGAATTTGTGGCAATTTAAAAATAACTCTGAAATCAAGTATCCGCACCGACCATTATCCTTTGCCGCATGTAGATGAGATTAAAAATTCATGGTGCAAGATATTTTACTAAAATTCATCTTGCCTCAGCCTATAACCAAGTGAGAGTTAGTGACGCCTCTCAAGAATTATTGACTTTAAATACCCATAAAGGATTATTCCGGTACATTAGGCTGCCTTATGGCGTATAAAGTGCAGGTCCTCTATTTCAATCTGTAATGGATACGATTTTGCAAGGTTTAGATAATACTTTTTGTTATTTAGACGACATATTGGTTTTTAGTAGAACTGAGGTTCAAATTGATGATCAAATCCCGCCAAATCACCAACGGATTTTATCCAAGTGATAATGCCGCAACCCCTAGGTTTAGCCTGAAGTAATGTGAACGCCGGGCTCGTGCCTAGCGTCTTAGGACAAAAAAAAACAAAAAAAACAAAAAAAAACTATGTGATTGTACTGTAGTACTGCAATTCTTGCACCATGCAATAAAAGAAGAACAGCTTCTTCTCCTCTTCGATGTTGGGAAGCCAGGCGTAGCAGCTGTACAATCCAGCACTCCAATAATACTTACAGTAAATGAGGGATGGCTAAAATGGATGTTAATTAAAAACGTCCAGGTAAATTGTTTGGTTACCAGTATTACTGCCATCCTTGGGCCCTCCAGTATCCAGAAGAAGAGCGTGAGGTTGTAGCCCCACCAGCACTTGGTGGAGCCCATGGTGTGATAGGTGACTGTAGCCCATGCCGTCGTCATGGCAACCGGGACTCCCCAGCCTATGGCGGTGTACATAGGGATGTACGACTTCTCTTGGAAGACTGTCACTGGAAAAAAATTACTTTTTTATTCTTAATATTCGTTTAAGCATAAGATATTTTTGTTAAAACCTTTTTTTATAGATATACGTAGTTGTGTCTGAAACCACAAGTTTGGAAGACAAATGGTAAGTAACAAATGGTAATTAAGTAAACAAAAAGAGTCAAAATAATATGGATACTGTCACTGATAATATACGATCACTAATAACGAAGGATGTAACTGCACGCAGCTATCCATAAGACTGGTCATACTAAATCTTGATTCTCAAGATTTACATTTTAGATTAAACAACTAGAACGATTCCATTAGATTATATTTATCTCTAATTCCAAGTGAGATTATAGTATTTATGTACCTTTGTACAACAAGAGAGATTTAGAACCTATTTGATATTTCCTCTGGTGTAGATCCATCAAAACGATTAATAATTGAATACGCACTAAACGGTTCTTCTTATTGAGATAATTGATAAGAAACTTATTTTTAATAACAAGCCAACCGAATAAATCAATTATTGAGCTACTAACAAAATATCCATAAATATCGCATCTGACACGTAAGAGGTCGTATTAGTGATTCATTACTCAATATGAGGAAAATCGGCTCACATTTATTTCATTTGAATAATGCTCTATAAAGTGATATTCAGGATAATCTTCCTAAAGAGGTCTTTCAGAGGTTGTTTAAAATTATAATACTAATTTCGTAAAGTTTAGTCCTAAGTTATTGAAGTTCTATTTTCATCTTGAACTTTTCTTATGTGAATAAATTACATACTTGAATACATGGATGGCATCCGTCACCATTGTAAAAGGTTTGATCTAAAATGATTGCATCGCAGGTGATTGTTCCTGGAATCAATGTCCCAACTCCGCCAATATGTGAAATGACTTTTCGAGCACCACACTCTTTGAGTGTTGCCTAACTGAATAACCATTAATAAAAGTAAATGTTCAGTTAAAACCAAATTAGAGACATTCTTTTGATCACATCAAACCTTGGTGTGGATTTAAATTGACAATAATTAATCTATAGGGAAGGTATTGAGCCTTAAATTTATATAAAACGGTAGAAATATTGTAGAAATAATAAAGATAGATACTACTGTAATTCAACTTCTTCTCCTTGCAAATGTGTGATATAGATTGATATTTCCTACCACTAATTGAAATAAGAATGTTGAAGAAATTCAAGCAGTCGAAATAAATGTTGTAGTTCAAGGTACAATGTTATTTAAGCCTATCTTAACACAGCCAATTGTATAAGGACAGGCTACATTTGTAGACTTGGATTTGAATCAATTGTGTTTTGTATTTAGCAAATGACGTCAGCGTGGGGACTGTACCAGACAGCTGGTATTGTCCTAAAGAAACAAACTGTAACAGGACATTATGTAACCATCCTTGCATAACGCCATAACTATAGCTAATTCTGTAAGAATCCAAATTACATGTAGAGGGATTCTCTGTTTAGGGACAAAACAAGCTCATAAGTTGGCAGCCCTGTTTACTTTATTTCATTGCCGATCAGCTGATACGTATTGTTGCATTGTTGTCCCCATGGTTTAGTGTTATTGTTATGCAAGCTCAAAGATTATAAATTTTAAAAGAATGCATTTAGGTAAAGTAAATCATTCGTTTTATGTTAAGAAGGTTTTGCAATTAATTATGTTTCCAGGTACCTAATAATTAAAATGCAGACCATAACATGTGAAGATAAATAATACAATAGTTATTTTTCCATGAATAAATCATTAATAAGTCATACAAATATGTTGCGTCTTATACTTGGGGGAAAGCCATGTTAATTCGTATTCACAATACATTAGTGATAACACTAAACCATTTAGACAACAATGCATATCAGCTGATCGGTAGTCTATTGAAGCAGGGCATCCAAATTGTGTTTTATCCCTAAAATGAACAGTTTATATATTTCTAGTTAAATGAGTGTTCTGATAAATTTGTCCACCCAATCTTTAAACTCTGAAATCTTTTAGTAATACAATAAGGCAATGCATAAGCTAATAAATGTCTCGTATTAAACTACGGTAATTAAATGCGGGCAAGACGTAAAGACTTTATAATAACAGAGGAGAAGTTACAGCTTTTCCGAATAAAAAACGCGCGTTTTTAACTTGCGATCCGAAGTGCGCGTGTTTTTATCCGGAAAAACTGCAATTTCTCCACTGTTATAGTTGTCCGATCATCATAATCTTTATCATAACAGTTAATGGGATTAACATTTTTCGTATCTTGTAATTTTTTATTTATTTATGGTATTTAAGATATTTAGCCTTAAAAAAATAAAGATATTTAGGCAATGGAAATCGTCAATATAATAATAACAGCTGTTGTGGGAGCCTTCTTAGCCTGCCTAAATTAAACCTTTATCTCTCTGTGGCTCGTAAACAGTTGAGTATGTAAAAAATTACTCAAGAATTAAAAAAAAGTATTAGATTTTAATTAAAAATCCGAAATAACCATAAAGTACAGGATATTCTATAAGAAAAATGAGGTTGACCATTATATTAGAAAATGGCTGCCATTTACAAAAATTGTATATACTTATTATTAACCTCATTAAAAACAAGGTAATGTTCCCCATTTAAAGTTTACTGTAATATGTATAGTTTACAAGATCCCAATGGTGGCTAAGTGAAAAAAACACACTCTGTAGAACTTAAGTGTATAAAAAGTGTTATTTTTGTTGAATACCTCATTGAATAACGCGAAAGAAATCTACAAATCCAACACTTTACAAAATCAATAAATAGTTATGGTACAATAGACAGTTTAGAGTGCATTATTTAATCCATTAACTGGAAGCTAATTAATTAACCATCTTCAGCACTAATATTATGTTGACAACTCGCGACAACACCAAACTTTGCTCGAGGTCAGTGAACAAAAACTTCTAATTACCTGCGGCATTTTCCCTCCATTTATCATTGTTGGCAGTTTGCTCTTTACTAATTAAACAAGAAGGTTAGTGGCTTTATGGGAATACAAACTAGCTGTGAAGTAGAAAAATGAATGGTGGACGCATAAATAAACAAAGGCGGTTGGACATTTAAGAAACCTAATTTCAAATGAGTTTTTAGAACAAAATTTCTTTTCCCAGTTTAATATATTTTTAGAACAAAATTTCTTTTCCCAGCTTAGTGATTTAATATAGTAATTCTTAAACTACTGTATTTTGAAAAATTAATTAGTAGTTAATCTTTAACTGATGGAAGAAAGAGAAACGTTGGTAAATATTAATAAATTCTGAGTAATATTATCAGTGAAGTATCAGTATGATTATACGCAGTTTTTTTGCAAACGGTTATCTCAGAACCTTAAATCAAATAAAAAATTGGAATTCATTAATTGTATTCTTTATGTAACTAAATATAACTTTAATCAATGTTATCCTAAAAGTTTTTTTTTATAAAATCAGTACAAAGCTTACCATAAGGAAAATCCCAAGGAAAATTTGAATATGTAACTTGTTACAACCTCCCTTCGCTTGTGTAAAGTTCCCATAATTAAATCGCCTCTAGTCATTTACTAGACGCTCCAGTGCGTTCCAACCACCCTCACGGTGGAAAATGTTAGGCCAATCTCTGGGATCATGTAATTTAAACGATAGTGTTTCGCTTTTTGTTGATTTAAAATTAAAAACATCGCTTTGGGATATTTTTAAAACTAACAATTGTTTAGCACTTTTCACGTAGCTTTCTATTTTCGACACTCAACAAAATAATTATTTTAGATTAAAATATAATTATAAAATTAGTTTTTTTTTTTTTAAATTGCCAAACTTCATCCGATGTATAGTTGGCAACCCAGTAAAGCACGTAGCTGCTATACATTATCGACCACACTAATCTTCTCTTTTGTCTCGCCTCACTCATTGTGCTGTGCTTGAATCTGACAGATGCACCATCATGTAGATAGTCAGATGGCTCATCATGATAATATTTTCTTGATATGTTAAAACTTGAAAATGATAGCGAAACTAAGCAACATTGTTTTGCTGCACGAGCTGCATGAACGTGGTTAATATATAGGGAAAAACTTAATTCTAAATAATAATGAGAAAGATATTAAGTAAATTGTATGATTTAAAAAAGGGTATCTAGTTTTAACGTTGAGTTTAGTTAAATATACTCCAAGGATAATTCGCACCAATACATTCATACGACTTCTGGGGATAGAGTTGTGACAACGCTAGGCCCTACATCACTGAGATATCCGATTGGATGTTATGCATTCCTTGTGTATCAGATGGAATCCCTTGTGAACCGAACATGCTTCACATATCACTGTGCCAATATGGTAGTGCATCAAAAGTATTTTATCCAGAAAAATATATAATACAGTACTTATAAAATATTGTTAAAAAGCTGCATTATATACAAAAATGAACGTCAAAATTATTAGTAGTGTAGTTTAAAATAACATTGTAGTGTAGTTAAAAAAATAAAGGAATAGTAAGACACTATACTAAAAGTGTAAACCTAAGTTTTCTGATAGCTGAATACCCTTTGAAAGGACCGGACGCTTTACACTCTAAGATATCGATCTGTATAATTCTCTTCTTTGTCTCCTCTCATCCTTTCATGCTTAGCGGTGGTGGTCTAAGATTTTTCAATCTTCAATCATTCTATGCATGAATATTATTTCATGTTTTTTTCTACTTGAGCCTTTTGAAAAATATATGTCAATACTTTCAAAGAAATGTTGACCCGATACCATGGTATTATAATTTTCCATGATCACTTAAATAGAGTATTGAACTGCCTAGTAATAATTAAATATTTTAATAAATTCAAATATGATAATGTATTTAATTTTTATTTATATGCTTGTAAACCAGGTACTCACGTAGGCATTAGATTTTACATTATATCCATACGTTAGCTCGTATCTCCCTTTTCCCAGCAGTGGGTAGTAGTAATATCGTATATTTATTATCCACATACTAGTTTAACATGCTTATTTAACTACAAGCTGCTGTACCCGTGCTTCGCAACGGGAAGAGAAATGAGTTTCATATACATTGGCATAGATTTAGAATAAACAATCTATGGTTTGAGATTGAATAATCAATAATCATACCACGTAGTTTTATAAAATACTGTATATTTAATTACTTTGCATCAGCCGTCTGAAATTGTGAAATAAGCATTTTACAGTTCTTATTGTTTACATTTAAATGGCAAAGCAAAGGTAAGCATTGTGATTTTTCACATGCTTCCATGGAGACCAATTTTAACATTAATTTTTGTAAACCTCACCCCAAAGCTTTGGATATCTATGGGGCGAAGCCAGAGGGAATTCTAAGGAAATGAATACGCCTATGACGTTCCTAAATATGAGGACCATCTTTGTGCTTAATTTTGGCTGTGTAGGTTTAGTATTTTAGTCTTGACAGCTGCTCAGACAGATAGACAGACACTACTTAAATTTTATAATACAATAGTAGATAGATAGGTAAATGTTATATAGGTATTTCACTTGATATATCCATTAGAATTACAGTATTTTTTCCATAAATACGTTTCGAAAACATAGCCGAGTCGTATATACATACTTACTGTATATATAATTCGGAGGACGTAAACTGTATGAAATATTGGGGTGTAATGTAAAATACTACATTTTAAATTAACCAAGTCGTTTGTTTTCAGTGAACTTTTATAGTGACATTTTTTCAGCCAAGAAATAAACAATGTTAAACAGAGGTAGACATTTGCTGTGGAGGCAGTTCACCTGGAATAACCTCTTGTCTTTTTATTACTTCATCTTCAAAAACATTTCACCCATGAACAATGTTTTACGCCATCAAGGCAATATGCATTCTTAGAAAACAAAGGAAACTAATTTAAAATTGATACAATTCATTTTTAAACTGGTATACATGTTTTAAAGGAATATGTCTCGACTAGATTAAACGTAGTAACTCTTTTAGATGTTTACATCAATTAAAATTACAAAATGATAAAATTAAATGTATAATATTCAATTAATAATATTTAACAAATATTAAATTAGTTAATATTTAGTAAGTACATTTTCCGATTATCAACGAAACAACACATGATTTTAAACGATACAAAATAAACCTGCAAGTTAATACTGTAGATTGAAGATGCACGTTTTCTCTGTTTTAGTAGATAAGACATTTCTTCAATAGAAATCTGTATTTTGTAAACACTAGACGACGCTTGCGGATAATATATTTTATATTGTACAAAATGGAATAAACAATACTGCACTGGAAAAGGAATTTTACTCGTATGATCCTAATTCGGATTTAGGAGAAACTCAGAATACTTGAAAAAAAAAACTACTTGTCTGTTCTATCATTCGTGTGAGAAAATATAAGACCAATTTAATAAGTGATGCAATTTGTGGTTGGTACAATGAGTTGTTGCGTCAAGTGTCAGTGGCGAAGTTATAAACGAAAAAATAACCTCTCTTAGAAGTTATGAGTAGTAATTATTTAATAAACGATCGTAGGTTAGCCTAAAAAAATTGTGTTCAAAGTTGTTATTTAATTTATTCATCAAACACATTTTAATGTGATCTTAAACAAAGAAGTTACTTTAATGTACAGTAACTACCTTAATATAGGAAATATAATAAATATAGTAAATATAATAAATAAATATAGGTCGCCATTTCATTCAAAAGTATTAAAGTATTAAATATGGCAATGGATCTATCGTTTTTAAGTTGCCAACAATACAAATCTCATTAGGTTCACCCAACTATTGTTATGAAATAATTTAATGAACCCCGCATATTCATATGTAACACTTATAGCCATAAAACATTTAAAATATACTGCTTAAAAGGAACCAAAATAGTGTTACGAATTAAAATTTTATAAATAGACTTTTATGTTCTCGTAGAAACTTAATTGAACAAGGCTGATATTTTGAATAAATCAATTTTAACTAACAATAACTACTGAGGTAAATATTGAAATAGAAAACAGTTAACACAAACAAAAATAAATTGTGGCGAGGCGGGTTATAGAGGTTGAACGTTTATTCTGTTGTATTATTTCACTTGTGATACAAAGGTTGTGTAAACTCACATCATTCTACTGTTTGTATTGATTGCTTCGACGATTGTAGTTTATTTAGTGGTTGGGTTAGGGATTGTAATGTATTTTATGAAACACAGTATGAAACACTGTTGTAAGGGAAATAATTGAAACTAAATTACAGGATAAAGTTTTGTTAATATTGGTTTCTTTATGAAAATAGTACTAATTATCAGGTATTTCAGAACTAACACAATTTTTTCCATTCAATAGTAAAACGAGAATTTAGTATCAATTTTAGCATACATCGTTTGTATGAGCTAATCAAATCACGAAATCCGTCACAATAGAAAACTGTTTAGAATGAAAATGTAACTGTTACTAATTTAATATTAATCTTTATAGAGTGTAATGGATTTTGTTACATACATAAATTCTTTGTTTCTTAGTTTTTTGTGATAGTAGGTTTTTGGTTTTTGAGAATTATTGCAGACATTTTCTATCACATAAAAAAATATATCACCTAAAAGATAAGCGTGTTGTGTTGAGCCCTAAGTACAGTTCCATTTCCCTCAGATTGAAGCGAATGGGCTGATGAGCCTCCAGCTGTTCTTTGACACGCCTTTACTCTAACTCTAACTTTCAGTGGATTAGATGTATAGAGTAATAGGGAAGTCTGCTTTAGACAAGACAGTTGAAGACGACATGCAAATGACCGAGAGGTGACTCAGCAGGTCTTGATTCCACGGACTGCACAAATAATTTGGGAGACGCATTGAGGCACAACCGTATAAACAGTAGGAATTCGCGTTGCTGACGTCATAGCCTGCGAGTCTGTCCTTACTGATTCCAGTCACAATCAATTCCTTGGAAGGCGTAATATATTTTTACATAGTGTAAATATAAGTGTTCAATAAACGAGAAAGTTGTTTAAACCAGGACCAAACCCTTGTCTAGATAGGAAATTAGGATTGGGAAAGTTTTTTTTCTCAAAGGGAACACTTACAAAATACAGAAGTTGTGTTTTATACAACTTACCAGTGACCATGTTGTGAAGATAGAGTCCTTCTATGAACATCCACATAAACATGGCGGTCCGTGCGTACTCCAACAACACATAGGAAGCCTCACACAGACCGGGCTGCAATATAAAAATAAGCATACTATGACAAAATTCATCAAACAAATAAAGCTGTATGTTTATGGGTTTATTTGTACATTTTAGCAGATCCCTTAATGTTCATCCAAATTATCTGTCTGTATGGACTCCAGACATAGCAGTGAATAGTTTTGGAGTTTGTCTAGAAAAATTATTTTATTTTAATTTTCAAAGTTAATTTGCAATTTTTAACGTCTTTATCAGCGAATTTCACATACTGTATAGGGAATAATATATGCATAAAATGTTGTGTAAATATAACATGGATATTATTAACAAGGCTGAACACTACAACAGCTGTGTTGAATAAAATGTGACATATAGCTACAAAATAATTAATTACAGTTTATATTTAAGCTTAGCAAAGCACAACTAAAACTTTCTGTCGCTAAAGAGAAACTGACACATTTTCACTTGAAATGAGATTACATTTTACAATAGAAAGACAACCGGAAACGGCAATCGTTGTTTGTTAGCTGAGGACAACTGGAAATCTGATCTGTGGGTGAAATGCTTTTGTGAACATATTCCTACCAAATAATTATTATTTTGTATGCTGAACTGCACGTAATAGAATTTTTATCAGAAATGTTATTTTCTCGTTTTTCTATAGTAAAATATCTTATAACTCACTATCGTTCAACGAAAGCCCACTTGTTACTGAAAATATGTATATTTGACTGTATTTTCAATTAATTTTGTAAGAAGTGAGATAAATATACTGCCAAATTGTGCTTTACAGTATTATAGATTCTAGACTAGTATACCTTGATAAAATATACGTTTTACTATATAACCACAGTATAAAATGGTATGTTAAAATGCTAAACCTGTAAAATAATAACAGTTCAGAGATCTTTGGTAAAAAACCGTCAACACAAAGTTTAGCTGAGTCCTAATTACTTGAAATATTACGATTTTAAATTATGTTTGTAGCATCCAGTGAGCCTGGGAAAATGTTATATTGGGAAAATAATTTAGGAAATAGCTTTCTATGGTAATCATAGTAAAACATTTCGTGGACCCGAAAATATATAGTTAAGGTGAGCTATGAATTTTAAAGGTGATGATTTCTTGGTAGCAAGATAACGAACATTTTTAGTTTAAGTTCATATTTTAATATAGTCAGAGTACACAATAAAACCACTGAAACAAAACATTTTAATGTCAAAGGACTAAAATGGAATAATGATTAGAAGACAACGGAAGTGTATGATAAAAACAGAAAGGATTGTGATAAAATCATGACTGGCTCCGTTAACAATGAAGCTAATAATTACTTTATTTTTAGAAACACAAGAATAACCCAAGGGAATACAAAAGGATACTTAGAGGAAAATTTATTTATAAAAGTTAAAATATTTTGTTTCCTTTTTCTATCTAATTATTTTTGCATCACTGTAAAAAACATTATGCAGATAATATATTTTCCTTTTCTAAATAAAGTAGACTTAATGTTTTTTAACACGAACAAAGTAGCCTATAGTGTTTTTATTTTTTTATGTCCCTCCTTTATATCTTAGGACTCTAGTTCTAGCCCGGAACTGTTTTACAAATTACTTCAGGCTAGTGCTAAAGGGTTGCACATAGATAAAACTCCATTCGTGATAGGCGGGATTTGAACCCGGGACCTTTTCACCGAAGCTCTTCCACTAGACCAGCTCACTCCCCAAAATGTTTTATTGATAATATTTACAATTTCGACAGTCAATATACTACAGTAATACAAGTATTTTTAGGTGATCTATACAGTTTTATATCGATTAGGTTTTATAAAAACAACGGAGATGTGGATATTAAATGTTTTAGAAGATTGTTTAGTGCGTTTGAATGATAAAGGATGAAAGTTTGGTTTGATAACTTTTACAATTCAAACCACTTTTATTCATAACAGCGCTCAAGCGGAAGATGAAAATGAAAACCAAATAGACCGTCTCTTTTACCAAGGGAATTTACCTTGAAGTAAGATAAATCAACCAGTGGTACGTCAATTACGCACAAAAAGCAAATAACTTTAATATTAACATTGCGAAACACTGGTGAAAGATTCTTTTGTTTTCCACTATTAATAATAGTGTTTCTAATAGCCTATGCAGGAAAGCTCAAATTTAAGCCTCCAACGTTATATAATTGGATAAAATTAATTATAAAACGAATATGGACAGGGATCCAGAAATGTTGCCAAATATATTTTGATCTCGCTCATTCTGAAGTCTATTAGATTAGCTTATAATCATCACCTTTTAATAAACACAGTAACTAACAACAAAACGAACAAAATTAATAACCGCAATAAAACTAATGCTTTAGTTAATAAAAAATAGATTATACATGTTTATAGACTAAAGTAACGAAGAACAAAACTGTATGATGCCAAGTTTGTTTAAAAATAATAAAAGCAATCCACTTTGTACTTTTAAAGAAGTTAGCATTGAACCAAGATACCGTAACATTAAACATACATTTTGTTTGCATCTAGTCACTCCACCGAATGAACCAGTTCAAAGGAACGCCTCGCTTACAGTATCAACCAAACGAGCTGTTCATTTTATCCTGGGGGTTTTTAATGTATGTTTTTACATTCGTATTAAGCTTTTAAAGAATCCTAATTTAAGTTTACAGCTTACTTCTTTTTTTTATAGTTCCGGCGAGTCAATGATAGCAAGGTTCGAGCGTCAAAGACATTTATTTATTTAGTTATTTTTACAAATACCTTATTTTATTCTCAGTTAGGATAATGTGCCTTATGATTTAACTAGTAGCGAAAATTTTGCATTTAGATAATTTGTTAACATTATCTCGTATAAATTTTCTTATTGAAAATCCCAAAAATTCTGTTATGAGATTTTCTAAATTTCACCAGTACAGAAGTACAATTGATATGCAATTTTCAGCGAGGCTTGGAACAATTTGGATTCTTGACAAAGGATTGAATGGAAAATAAATAGTATTTTTCTATAATTTTGAAAATGATTATTCAACATTTTTGTTCGTAAAATCGTTGTAATACTGCCATATTATAGGAGGAAGCTGATTACAATGATATACCCATTTCCCAAAAATTATACACGAAACCCCTATCAATGTTATGTGGTGTCTAAAATGTATAATTTGCAAGTAAGTTGTTTTGCACTTGTGTCTCTTTTTTTTAGTATTTTGACAATGAAGTAAATTTCGACCTTGAGTACCTATAATCTGGAATGTTAATGGCAGAAGTAGACATAATGTCCAGAGTTACAAGTAAGTGTGACAAGTTATTGGTAGTTTTTCTTCTGAAAAATTATCATAGATAATTTTAAAACTTCGTGTACTGACCGTGTTATCGATACCATGCCTCAGTGACGATGATGCTCTCAGCTCCGCCCCTGACCGAATGATGGCTTGGTCGATGTACAGAGTCAACCGAATGAGTACTTGGATCACCATCGCCACAAACAGGTTCTTGTGGATGCGAGTTCGGTTGTTCCTCAGGCTCCTGCAAACAAAGGCGATTTTCCCGTTACTATTCTCAAAGGTATCTAGCAAACAAATTTGCAGTGTTAAATTAATATAGGTTTAGGTTGAAATATTCATCTTAGTATTTTAATTGAGCCTATTTATATATTAGTTATTAATGGACGGAATAGTTGTCCTGAAAGCCCGGTTTCCAGTTTTGCCAATCATGACTTTGAGATATGTGATAATTCCGTTACCCTCCGATTAAAGACCAACCTATAAATCATTGGTCCATCCACCTAAAAACGCACAAAATACCTATATTTTGTGTAAGGAGAACATTCCTTGTATTGGAGACACAAATACAGTATCCCTACACAAAATACATGAGATAATTCATTACACCTCTCACAATATATGGACAATTTGACAAATCAATCTCACTGGTACTGTATATGTTTAATATTGTCTACATCTCAGAGTAATAATAGAGAATGTATGAACATAAAAAATAGAGATATCTTTCGTTGATTTGAATAAACTATGAGTTTTACGATGGGTAGACCCATAAACTTATGTGAGCTCTAAACTACCAGATCAAAGAATAATTATTACGTATGTGTTAAAAAGATTCGAACCAAAGCCTCCGGAACAGAAGTCTGTAATATATCTTAAGAATATTAATATCCGTTGTAACTATGATTTCCTTGTACATCACGCCACTGTGATCGTATGATTTTCAATAAATCTCATTGGCTACAAACATTACCTGATCCCCTCTCCACCTACATCACACCACCGTCCATGTCCGTCCGTCCCTACAACAGTCAGTCTACCTCCAAAAAACTCAAACCTTAACCATCCGTTTGTAGCCGTGTTTTAAACATGTAAAAATATCGTATTTATTTCAGCAGTCCAATTCTTAAGTCCAATTCAACCCACGAACACAACAAAGTCCTTTCTCTAACAACGACACCAGAACCAATATAATCCAAACCAATTAGCATCATCAACCATTTCCTCAGCTGATTAGTTCACATCTTAAACCATTCAACAAAATAGGATTATACAATTATCTACAATACTTTAGGGTGTGTTTTTCAAGGCGAATATAATTAATGATAAATTAAGCTCAGATACAAGTATGTAATAAGTGTAAAATATTTGTTTTACCAGCAACATCAAGGATGCGGTAACGTGTGATTTTCCTGTCACTGCCTCATCTTTGGGTTCAATTAATGTAGAACTTGTGTGGTTTAAATAACCCAGATTAACTGTATACCTCGTAGAGGAAACGTTAGGATTATGTTACATCGCAATACTGTATGTTAACCAGTTCTGTAAGGAACAGTTTTATTTGTGGTTTAGTTTTCAAATGTTGATTCCGACAGTTAATTAATAGTTTTAAATTTTATAAGTAATACGTTCAATTTTAAGTAGATTTTTCCTCAGGATTTAGTGTTTGGATGGAATCCAGGTATTAGAATTTAACTTAGAATATAAACTTAGAAAACTCCCCTTTGGAAGTCTACAGACTATTTAGGGATTACCCAATTTTTAAATTCTGTATTATCATGTTTTACTGCACCTATTCACGATTTAAAATTTAACAATTTTGATGACTTAAGCAGCTTACAATTAGGAAACGTAAATTGTATAACTGCTGTTCACATTTAACCACAACCATTATGATGGAATTTAAAAAAATCTTTTTACGAGTTTATAAAAATATAATAGAATTTAAATAAACATTCCTAAATTATTGACAAATATTTCAAACACAGCCTACTAATTTTTAATTCAAGTAAACGTCTAAAACCCCTGAAAATTTTAAAGCAGGTTTGAGAATTGATTAAATCTTGCAGTCTCTTTTGTGCTTCAAAAGCCTATGGTTGCGCACGTGTTTGTGTGTGTGTGTGTGTGTTTGTGTGTTCTGTATTGCGCCTCAGGCATTTTCATCCATCAGGGACAAAGCATTTCTGTCTCCAGTTTTGTATACCTGGCCCAGTTATATTGGAACATCCTAAAGCCTGTGTAAGACTTACTCCTTCAGTATAAATACAATTGTATTGAAAATAATAAATGATTATTACTAATTTTTAACATTATGAGGCTTTGATATTTTCCTTAAGGAGCTAAATCATTCAAGGAATACGTGAAATTTATCTTTTCTTACCTAGATTTTCCTCAGAACCCCGCTTTAGCTTGTGTGCGTTTTATTATATTATTTTAGCAAGTGTTTTAACTATGTAAATACATTAAGAAAACATATCATTAGTGAGGCAACCATAAATACAATTTGACAGTGGAATAACCCGTATCATCACAGTATAATAATATAAGCTTTCAAATACAATTTGAAATATCGTAGTAATTCATTTTTGGAACAATAAAGTCTAGTTGACATTTTGCCATCGTCAAAACGGTTCAAAGCTGATAATGCTCAGTTGTGAGAAAATTAGTAAAAAAAATATGTTTGTAGTTCACAAAAATATTTTATAATGATTGTATGACCAATTTGGCTAATATTGTGAAGTAATTTGGTATTTGCTACCTGAGTCACATATGAAAATATGTATAAGAGTAACTTAAAAATTTATTTTTGTTGATTTAAAAATTTTGGCTTTGAGTTAGTTTTTACGATGAAAGGCATTTAATTTATCTATATTCCAACTTTATTTAACACTGAATCATCTTTATAGTGTATCTAAATAAACTTATCCATTTTCTAAGAATAATTTCTATTAATAATTCTGTATATAAAGAATAAAACAGTGTAACGATACCACTTACAAACCAAACAGTAACAACCTTTTTAAATAAATCAATTTTCTCATAATTGCCACCTTGCTTCGGAGAAAGCATCATGAAATAATGAGCCAATAAATATTTAGCAGACTCATTTTCTACCTCTATTTGGTTATTAACGCAAAAGAGGTGAAATAATGAACAAGTTTTAAATGTTGATTGGTCCAACAATGGGTTGTGGTTGGTCTGTGGGGAGAGGGAGGGGGTGGAACCACGTGACCTCTAAAGCAGTGTGCTGACACAGTCATTATACGACGAGTCAGCAGCTACAATAGGTGCTTCAGCACCGTCCGCCATCTTAGTTTCGTCTTCTTACAAACGTTGCATTTTCCTCCTGAGCTCTCCAAAGCTGAAGGACTGTCTTCGGCGTTAATGGCTCATTATCGATCTTTTAAGTCCTCAGAACTTCACTCGCTTCATTTTTATATAATTATCAAGGGTCAAGGTGAGCTGAGGGGATAAAGAGAACGTTTGTAAACCACTGTGAGAGGTTAGCTTTGGGGTTTTAATTAAAATTTAGATGTGTAATTTAAATTTAATATTTAGATTATGCTATATTAAACACTAAAAACATTGTAAAAAGTTACCATGGTTAAAATATGTTACCTCTTAGGGCGTGGACTTAAAACGGCAACATGTTACTAGACTTAGATCCAGAAATACCTTCTTCACTTTGATATTATAATCAACCACCTACATCAAAAGCAGTGTGACGTAAAATGATGCAACCTATCGACTTCAGTGTTCTACCCCTTGAATTATAACTCCTCGAAACGTTTGTACATTAGAATATTTTGTTTACCATATCTGAGGCAGGCTTCGTTCAGGTATGAAATTACATATTTTACGCACATGAGGGCTCTATATATTAATAGGCAAGCGTGTTTCTTTAAAACCTTTTTTCTCAGCTCGTGTGCATCGTAGGGAAAATCTATGCATACTGTTAAAAAGATATTTTCCTTTAGGTTTGCAGAATCCCTTTATAAATCAAAATAGGCTTAAAATAAGCACAACAAATTAATTTAAAATTTGAAAACATTAACATAGGTCTTAGAGTTGCTATGCTGGTGACGAAATAACAAAGAAAAATAAACAGAAAATCAAAACAAATTAAAGAAATTCCAATCACATGTTTTATTTTCAGCATGGGGTGAAATTAGAGAAGTGTGTACATTACATATTTATGTTTTTGGTCGAGTTTTCGACCAATGGATGACCTCTAGTAATTATAATTATAAGACTACAAGGAAACTATATGTCAATAGGACTGTGAATCGATTTGTGTTCGGAGCTTTATTCGGTTCTTGTCAGCTACAAAGTTTTAGAGGAAAAGTGATATTGCCGCCTGTGAACTTCAGAAAAAGAAATCCCATTTCCTAGTAGTCGCTTTATTATATCCAAGAACCTGCGTCCCTGGTTGATATTTGAGCCTTTCTCAGAAACTGTAACGAAATAAGGTTCTCTAGCAATAGTTTTGGTTTTTACACATATATGTTTCTAACAGTGGGTAGAAACGATAATGAAATAATACGAAATATGAACGAAATATGAACGAAAAATATGAACGAAGTATGAACGATTAACACCACAGTACATTACTCTGCCGTTATACTTTTAACGATTTGTGTGGTTTTATTTAAAGGCATTATTGATCCGATTGATATTTGTCTATTTATTTTTGATAATTATTCTGTATTGTAGTTTTAAAAATGATTCAAGCATTCATCTTCGAACATAGACTGCATTGTCAACATAGACATAAGATGTCACAGTTTTGCTATTGGGTTGCAATGAGTTTTTATAACAACAGATGGATTTTTGTAATAAACAAGTTTGTTGTTTGGACTGTCGCTCATAAATTAAATTTATGTTTAACGGCCCACAACCCTAAGAAAAAGATTATAAAATACTTCTACACACAAAGCATAATCTTTATGTGTTTAAATAATATTCACACAAAAAATTAAAAAGAAAATATATAAAACCAATTATCTTACATTTTGCAGAACTTGAGGGACTAGACTACTTATTATAGTATACTTTCAGAAGTAAGTAATCTTATATAGTTTTATAAGCCTAACGTAGGTCCTTGCAAATCTACTTGTAAACATGTAAACTTGGCGAAGTTTAAAATACACTTCAGAGGAAGCGTATTTCACTTTCTAAATAGAGTACAAGGATGGGTACATGGAAGTTGCTTAAAATCAAATTTTGCTGAGGGTTAAAGAGCAGTTTTTTTCCTCTAACAATTATAAAGTATCAATGGACGTGTTTTAAGTCGTGTGTTCACCATTGCTGTCTATGAGGATTGCTGCATTAGGCCAATGAATACAAATCCTTTTTCATGGATTAGGCCTAATTGTAGGCTGCCAGCTACCAAAGGCTTCAAATACAAATAAATAAAAACCAAACTCAGTTAAGTAAGATTAAGTATTTTCTCAAATTGAATAACTGTATTGAGTTGGATGCTAGTCGATTTCATTCATGCAACAATAAGAAGTACAATGTATGTGTAGCTACGAACCTGAAATGACAGAAGATGGCGAGAGAGATTACGAGCGCTGCTAGAGATACACTGAACCCTACAATCTCCAGCGTTCTCGTCTTCTCAGCAATCTCCAGTTTCATCTGCAACATACAAGGACAAGCTTTTACAAGCTATTGCTAACTGAGTAAGTTTTTTAATGAGATCATTTCTTCCTTCGTTACAGATGAATATTACACTAGTCAGAGAATGTTTCCTGTTTCACTCCTAGACCATGTATAACTCCTAGTTTAAAGGCGTTCAGATTGTCTGTTAAAATACAAATGGCATCATGTTACGTTGTTAGAAAATGATAATATACAATAGCACAGCCCAAATTATAAGTACTGTAAGACACTGTTTAACGACCAAACAAGCTTATGTTGGCATACCTGTTTTCTTTACTTCATAGCCGATCAGCTGATATGCATTATTGTTTAGTTATCTATGAGTATTATTGGGACTTATTTTGTAAATAAGACTAAACACGATGTTTTTAAGCTCAAATAAGTTATGTATTGTAGGTCTACGTTTGTTTGTTTTCTACAGATTTCCTCAAATTCTTGACAACTTTCCGGTTTTCTTACATTTTTACGAGTAGTTGATTTATTAGTTAAATCAGGTATTTTAATTCGATTTCAATATATTCTTTTACATAGACCTACATACTCCTTCAGCTTGGAAAACACATGGTTGAGTCTTATTCACAATGAATTCACAATAACACTAAAACTCGTAGAAAACTATGCGGAAAGCATATAATCCATTTGGCAATAAGTTAACAAAACAAGGATGTCACCATATAAGTATTTTTTTGTCGACAAAAGGTGTTTATCGGTACAGTACTTGTAATTTAAGTGTTAAAAATACCATTTACTTCCCCGATTTGCTATCCAAGATACGTATTAGGTTCAGACAAATTCCTTTCTCCAAATTGATCATAAAGTGAATTACTCAATAACTCTTTATGTGGTTTAAGCTGAATATACATGCAGGAAAAGTTTGCATCTTTGTGGTAATTAACCATTGAGGATTAGTTTTTTAACCAGAATCAGTTGAATGCCAGGGTATTCATTAAAAGTCCAACAAATTTAAATTTCCTCTGGTGCCTTTGACTGTTCACACCGGCAAAGGCAAATGTCTAAACCACATAAAATTGCAGTATACAGGGTGATCAACTCAAGGAGGCCACCATTGGGATATCGGAAACGGTAAGAAATAGAGAAAACTTTAAATGGGGGACATTCCTTTATTTTTTGTGGCAGTTAAAATTATGATTTTATTTTTTTGAAATTCAGCCGCCATTTTCCAAAATGGCGGCCAACTTTGAAATTTCTTATGGAACACCCTATATTTTATCATGTTTTCGGATAGAACATAAAATTTAAAAACTTTTTTATTCTTGACATTTTTTCGATAAACCCACTCGTTTAGGAGTTACAGCCTATGGAAAAATGACTTCCGGTGTACATTTTACATCATGTAGCTCCAAAAAAAGTATGTTTATAGCGAAAATGCGAAGAGTAAATAAGTCAAATAAGTCTTAAAATTGCATCCACAATCCAAAAAGCACATAAAATTCGTTAAAAATATTAATTCTATTATTTAAAAATGGCGGCCATTTTCCAAAATGGCGGCAAACATGAAAAGTGGAAAACTGTGTATTTTATGGTCTTAATGGAATGTGGATGCAATTTTAAGACTTATTTGACTTATTTACTCTTCGCATTTTCGCTATAAACCTACTTTTTTTGGAGCTACATGATGTAAAATGTACACCGGAAGTAATTTTTCCATAGGCTGTAACTCCTAAACGAGTGGGTTTATCGAAAAAATGTCAAGAATAAAAAAGTTTTTAAATTGCACGTTCTATCCGAAAACTTGATAAATTACAGGGTGTTCCATAAGAAATTTCAAAGTTGGCCGCCATTTTGGAAAATGGCGGCTGAATTTTGAAAAACTAAAATCATATTTTCAACTGCCACAAAAAATAAAGAAATTTCCCCCATTTAAAGTTTTCTCTAATTCTTACCGTTTCCGATATCCCAATGGTGGCCTCCTTGAGTTGATCACCCTGTATACTTTTTCTTACGTTTAAAATATTTCGCGAAAGAGTTAGTGTAAAATAAATAGCATCCAATTAAACAACCTTCATTTTTTTTTCAAAGTGAACTATGTTTCAAACTTAGATGCACCCTCCTTAATTTATATTCAAAAAGCTCGCTGGGCTCCTGTGTGATAGAGCAAGGAAGAAATCTTAAAGACGATTGCCACCGCTTTTACACTCACGTAATTAAATTTCGAGTAGGTCAAGTAAAAGTTGGCAGTGTTTCTTTAATTAGGTTTGTTACGGAAGACTTTGATCTTCTTCTGCTGCTGTTTGTGCCTGAAGCTGCTAGTAGAGACAGGTAATACAATTAATTACATTCCAGCTGTTTGACAGCTCAGGACAATTTTGATGGGTTTTCCTTGTCAGGAGATAGTCCCGGACTTAGGTATTTGTTCCATAAAGAATTTTTAAAAGATTCATAGGTTTAACTGTTTTGAAAATAACTATAAATACTGTATATTATTTTAATGTGTATGGTGTTTACACTATTATGGCATTGGCATTGTCTTTTGGCAAAATTTAAAATATATAAAACTTTATATAGCTGTACGAGATATTCATCATTCTATGTGCCATCAAAACATGACAATTAAATTACTTATCGGCAATTGAACTTAAGTACTTGTATGAACCAATTGCACAAAATAAGCATTATGCGTGAAAAAATTTTTACTAGCCACAATAAAATACAATTTAACTATTATAAATCTTGTTAAAAAAGTAGTAATTTAAGTCAATAGAATGTTTCTTTTTATTAACTTTAATATGGAATTCTTTATAAAAAAAAAAACAATACATCCTTCTAAAAAAAACATTTATTGAAAATCGCTAGAGCCATTTTTATGAATATATAAAATAAAATAAAAAACAATCAGCTATTTACAGTAATGGAATACACATTAGATAAAAAGTTTATAAATCGGACGATTGACCCAAATTATTACAATAAATAACAACGATAAAGGTTGTTATTTGTAATATTTTGGTGATATAAAGTAATTTAACTCCAAACTCGAATTTGTTTAAGTCTAGTCAAAGTGAATGTAGGAACCGCCAAATGAAAGATGCAACGCAAAGTGCTGTAATAGGTTATTTAACACTAGAAAGTGGAGAGCGACAAAGTTATAAAGTTAGGAGAGGATCTGGAATCAAAGTTACGATTGTCTAATTAGCCGCAGACATTACAATACTTCCTCGTTGATACTCGTATATAGTTTTAATCTTCAAGAATTCGATATGTGTGCAGTTGAGAAGCAAACGTTACTTTCTTGTGGATTGTATTGTACATAATTGCATGTTAATGTAGAATAATATGACAATAAATACATTAGTTGTACTGCAGAGCTGCATATGAAAGGTGAGGGGAAAGTAATTTCTAAAACTGGGGTTTCCTAGGCGCGGAAGCGGAGCACCGAGAGACGAACGCGGAGAGCGGTCTCCTCTTAGAGGCGGAGCGGAACACCATGTTAATCGCTTTTCCGCTCTCCGCTCTCCGCTCTCCGCGCTCCTCTTCCGCGTCTAGGAAAACCAATGATATGGTTTTGTGCAAGCTTAAATTATATATATTTTATTTTTTGTTTACTTTTAGTTCAAAACCTTTGTTCGCAACAAAAAAAAACCTTACACGTTGAAATAAGAATTAAAATGAAATAGATAGCACATTCGAGGAGAATAAAGAATATTTTTCGGATTTTATGGGACTCTATGGGCAGTATGTTTTATAAAGCAAAGAATGAAGGCTAGATAAAAGTACGCTGTCTAAAAGGATTCGACATTTTCAACATCCCGGGAATTTTGCCCTTGACAGAAGTAATAAATATAAATTTTAGCTTTAAAATAATATTTATTGATTAATGATAAGAATGCATTTAATGCACTTCAATAAACTGAACCAACTGCAGATACATTGCAAATATGACAAGCATGTTCTGAATGTGGGTGACGATTTTATAAACATTCGGCTGCAGAGTTGTTCACACTTCACATACTGGAATATTAATATCACATTCGTGTCGTTACACTCGGCGTTCCAGATTGATTTTGAATCGACTCAAATGAAAAAATAAATTTGGAAATCTCCTGTAGATATTCACATTTATTTTAGGGTCTTATTTTTGTATTTAATTATGTACAAATAATATAAAAATACACAAATAGGTCTCGGAAAAGCCTATTTATTATTTAAAGTTTATATTAGGAACCGAAATTGCATTCAAGAAAATAATATATTTCAATGGCTTATCCAAATAAATTATTCTAAAACCTAATTAGAACGATGGTTTTTATGAATTAATCAAAAAAGTGCAAGTTGAGTTTTAACGTTCACTTTAAGTTTGAATTTTTAAAATAACAGAATTAACGTAATAATAATTTCAATAAGTTAGAATAACTTTATAAGGGGACAAATTTTGATTAGATAGAAGCATTAGTGTACGCTTTCTACATTAATAATACTCTACTTTAGTAATATTTTATTTTGACTATAAACATTAAAGATAGCTACAGTTAACAGTATTTTATAGATTGGAAATATATCACTCATAGGAAGAAAGGTATTTGATAGTTAGACAAAATTATCCTGAAATATCTAACCAAAATAATACTGCGAGTATAAGAACTATTTTCCGCACTAGTGACATAATTAGGCTATTATTTCTTACTATATTGTAGACAATTTTGGAACTTTGTAGTAGCATTCTAGGGACTTTTTTTGTACACAAGCTCTAGTTTTTTTTTCTTTCTTTTTAAGGAAGAGTATATATAATCGAATTGTAATATATTTATAATCAAAATATCAAACTTAACGATTTAATTTGTCTAATATAACACTACGGTTAACATAAACAAATATATAGACGCTGTAATTTTTTTTTATTAATCAGGATTTTTATTCGGAAAAACCAAATAGTGTTTAAAATTCAGGCAGATATATACAGATAGTCGAGGACTCCAGCTGTGTCTTGTTTGCTTCTGGTATTAAAAACTACGCAAGAAACTTTACTAAACTTCTAAACTGGTTCTTTTTCTACCAAAAGGACAGTTGTTGTTGTAAATTGTCAGGAATCTGGTAAACCTCACGTTAAAACAGTCTATTGTAGATAAACTTTTATATTGTCACTGACATCAGTAATTGGCCTACTGAAGGAAAAGTCAATAATGTTGTTTTGTTCGAACATGTTTTTACGATGTAAGCGTTGGATGTTCGTTTGAACAAACAGTGATCCGACATACTAAATCCTCACGTAGAAGCAAATACTGTGAAAAATAATAAGTGTGGAACTAGTCATCCACGACAAATTAGGAACGATAGACGACGGGTTAGTAACCTATTATTGTTGTCATTTAATCAATCCTGGAGGCAAATTATGAATAAATGAGAAAATACTGTCGTTAGAGATGTTTTAGTTTTACTCAAATGTTATTGACTCTCTCATCCATTCAAATGCGTTTACTGTAGTTGTGGTTTGGTTTACTCTAGATTTGAAATACTTTACCACATCCAGTTAACTTATAAGGAAGTAACCAACTATGTCTAGTGATGTGTGAAACCCAAATCTCAAAACCATCATAACTTTAGAAATGTTTCGGTGCCAATATTTGATCGGCAAGTTTCGAGATCAAAAATTTCTAAATTAATCATTTTAGCAGTTTTGATTTCAAAACTGCTGACATAATATGTCAGAAAAAGCATTTCGAATGTTTCATTTGTATCATTGTTTATATCACAGTTTACACACAAGCTGGAGCAAAAATATCACCATTAACACTGACGAAACAAGTAGTCATATTCTGAACTGCTATCACAAACACTAATGCTTGAATAACGTATGATACAGTTTAATATTAATATTTATTGTGTAAAAAATGGAATGGGATGAGATGGAAGGCTCATTCTACTGCCTAATCAATATGTTTATAAATACACAATATGTATAAGCAGGATATCTTTCGTTATAATTTCCTTATTGATGAAGCTTTGGTACTGCAATACGTGTAAACAACATATAAAAAGATAGTAAACCGGCTGTCCCTGGTCCGAATATGGAAAGGAGAAATTCGGGAGTGTTAACATTATATTTTGAAAAAGTTAATCTAAAATGTATACCTACATCTATTCCTAAAGTAGGACCCGTACTTATATCAACAATGCACTTACTACACAGTATTAACTGTATGTTGTTCTTCAATAAGGAACCATATTAATCGGCTAGTCCTATTTTAATCTGACGATTATCAGAGCTAACGAATGTCATGTTTTGAAGTTTTTTTAACCTAGGATAGTCTTCCACACGTATAATTGTTTCCGGTGAATGAGTTTGATATTTTACATTTTTTTTTTTTTTAGAAATGCGATTTCTTGACTTAGCTAGATGCAACAGACACAGAAGGTCAAAGGGTATAAACATGAAACTTCAGTCCAGTAATTCTCTTTTCTAAACAATACTATATAAAGTATATCTATATAAAGTTAGTAAAACAAAAACCATGTATATACATTAATAGCGTTATCTTCTTCCAGCAGAAGATTTCTCATTAATGATTTTATCAATGAAAATGTGGTTAGTTTGAAACAACTCTGAATGTAAAAGGAATTTGTGATTCAATTATGCCTCTTTTCAACGGTGTTTGTAAGATCAAAGCGTAAAGAGTTGGAATTAGGCGGTGCGTGGCAGCAAAGCAAAAGAACATATCCTCTTTGAATGTAACAATTACCTCGATTGGGTAAGGAATGGCTAAATGTATTTTTAAAGAATGTAACAGTAGAAAGGAAATTTTGAACCAAAATTCTATCATGATCCTTCATTCTTTATTCTTTATTGAGTAACAGCCTATTAAATAATTTACAATAACTATTCAGAATATTAGTGCCTTGTCTTTCAGGACTTGACATGGGGAACATTCAAATAATATAGAGTTTTAAAGCAACGATGAACTCAAACATGAAAGAACAAGATAAAATCTACAAGGATCATTCGATTTGAGAGTATCTTTGATTTTTGTTAATTAGCAATTTTTGCGTTCTTATTCAAATTATTATGTAGGCTACGAATTAAAATAACAAATGATTGTGACATATTTATTACTAACTGTATTTATATAACTGATAGTAAATAACTGCAAAGTATCTAAGAATTATAAATGAAACTAACAAACCCATCTGAAGTATGATACATATTTAATACAATTAGAGGTTTCTTTGTACTTTTGGGATAACTAAAAAGAAATTTAAGCTGTAAAAACAGAAGAGCTATATAGTCAAACTGAAAGATATGTCGACAGGAACAACGCAAAAAAGCCTGAGGGATGCATTTTCTTTATCCTAAAGAGTTTTTCACTAGGGTTGTCATAGTGATATAGATATGTACATACTCCGTGATCTCGAGTTAAAGAAAATAAATCCAAAAATGTTCTACTTTCGTTTAGTATGAGAAACATAATTGAATCCTATACATAGATAAATGTAAGGAAATAACGGGTTTGCATTTATTGTAGAATTTTCAGTTCAAGTTAATCGTAAATATTTATCTACTAGCTATGATTCTTAAATAAGTTTCAATGGTTATTTTTACTACATGTGGGGAGTATTTTACGAATAAAATATATGTGTTCTAGGTCAAGTCAGCTTTTATATTATTGTGGATGAACATATTATTGTACCTGCTGCCACAAATTTGTAAACGTGATCTATAAATAAAATAATAAAACAATACAACATGAACAAATCTTTGATGAATTTCAGTTTTTTGTATTTAATTAATAAAAACCCAATATCCATTCTTTCTTATAGTAAAACAAATTGACAAATGGAACATTCTGCTAAGGGCAGATTTTCCTTTCAAGAATCTTCTTTTCGCAAAAGAGTTATCAATTGTGAGGGGTTTACAGGACACGATACATTTTAGGTTTAAGTATTTTATAATAGTTTTTGTGCTATAGCTGTTGCCAAAAATCTGTCAATTTATTACACAATTAATAGCTAACGACTAAATTAAGTACCTTTTACAATAAAAAAATTAATTAAAAATTATTATTCTTTCACTGTTTTAATTTAAAACTTGATAGGCTAGATTATTTTCAATGCAATAAATGTATTCATATTTAAAAAAATCTAAGTACATAAAATTAAATTAAAACAAAGAATTTTTTCAGGAGTATCCTCTAAAAGCCAACCACATTTGATTTTATCTAAGGTGATTGTACTCTAAATTAACTATCCAGTACAACGAAAACGAGAAGGGAAATTTGGTTTAATAGGCTTCTCTCGTTTCGAGGAGTAAACGTAATCATGTTGGAATAAAAATCTTTCTGTAAGTTTGTTCTTAATCGTGTCCGCCATTTCCTCTAAAGTGACGATGGTTATTACTTGATGACTGGCCCAATTTAACGAAATTTTCCATCAAAATCAACATCCTTTTTAGCTTTACATCACACATCCTAGTCCCAAAATACTTTTTATAAACACAAATTTTACATGAAAACACTGTCTGAGAGAAAATAAATTGAAATACATATTAATTAACCAAACTTATTCCGAAGAACAACTTACTGGGTAATTTTGCAATTATTGTCATTTAAATTAGGACATTCCATGTACTCTTGCTTGAATATTATTGATACCCTCTTCAAAAAAATAAACTGCCCGTTTAACGCAGATAGGTTACCACCAATTATACAGTCACCAAACTTTGATCCACTGTTTCCTGAACCAAATACCAAATGCATTTGTAATATGTTCAATGAGCTCTCGTAGCATTTTAGGAACACTCTTCACTTTATAAGAGCCCCGTGAAATGTCCCATTTATTATTTCCATGTTATAAACCAACTAACCACATATTTTCAATTTAATAAACTTTTCGAAATTCACCAAAGAGTTGCAAGAACTTCGTTATGTAAAACTAGCGAATTTGGCGTGTTTTTTTTCTTGTCCCACTGGGTGGTGTCTCTGATGTCAGTGCGAGATTGACGGGTTCAATTTCTGGCATTTACACAAGAAATTTAACTGATGTTCACAGCTTTCAATTAGCAGCGTTTGTGATTTCTTAACATAAAATGCCACTGGTGTAGACAGTTAACACTTGATTCCAAATCTTAAAAAAATTTACCTTACCGGAAATTTTGTTTTTAATTACGAGATTTAAAATGAATAAAATTATTCTGTTTTTGTGGAACGTCTTACCCTCGCTGCCTCCTCGGAGCCGGTGTAAAGTTTCTTGAAGAGCTCCAACATCTCCGGAGTGTAACAGGGAGTGTAGTTGGTCCACCCCTGGGGAGTGGTGTAGTCCCCGGGGGCTTTGCCCTCCCATCTGCCATCCACAGAACATCTCTTCGTAGCGAACTCTGCGAAAAAAAGACACATAATGTCACTTTGTTTCAAATATATTTTTGGTAGTGGTAAATTTGTAATACATCTAGTAAAAAATGGTTATTTTTCATCAAGGTCGGTAAAAAAACATGGTTTTCTCGATTCTATTTGACTACTATTCAATTCCCTGTATGATTTTGCTTTGGATGGGTTAGGTTTCTTACCTGTGGATGGAACAGATGGATATCGAAACGCCATGGAATTATTATATTTTACTAATCGTGAAACCAGTTCACTATATTCCTTTTTTTAGATTGTGTATTTTAGTTGTAAACCATAAAAAATTCATATTGACGTGATCACAACTATGGGGAAATATAGGTATTTCAACGCATAAATCATACATAAGGTACTTAATTGATACGCTAGTTTTACTAACGTATAAAAAAGTACATTATTTGACATTTTCCCAAGTTTGTAAATGCTGACGTGATGATTTACCAACAATTCAGTAATTAGGTGAATGATTTCCACGCAATTATCTCAATGTGGTTCATCTTCCGCTGATTTGATTACTGGATCGACTAATTAGGTTTTGTATCCACATTTAAATCCTAGTGGAAGATTCATTTATTTATTTTATAAAAGTACGACTGACTAACTAATATTTACTGATTCGCAATATACTTTTTGAATCAATATTATTGATGAACCTTTCACAAAAAACAAAACTGCAGACTAAGCGAATGTTTCCTTTATTCATTGATACATAGCTCCCTCAAGAAATACAGTATATACTTTAAGTTACGGTATATGAAATGATAGGCTCAAGGTACAGTATTTCGGTCTGTTAATAGGAGCACACAAATATCTCATAGATTACCAAAGCAATCTACGAAACGTGTATTGAAGAAATACCAACAAAAATCTAAAACAATTAATCCACACTAGTGTAACATTAGAGACGAAAAAATGCTTAATAGTTTCAATATGTCACTATTTGATAAAAAATAATTTTTTTGATCAATTACCATAAGATCGCATTAAGGTTAAGATCGCTTTACTGCACTAGAATGCTTATTAGGTCAAGTTGACCCACTATGCCATACGATGCTGGTCAATCGCCCATATAGCTTCTAGTTCAATATAGTTTTTAAAAAATTAATCGTGATAAAATAAAATAACAAATATGAAAAAATGCATGGATAATAGAAGTAACGTTTGAGTTGTATCTGCGATACTAAAGAAAGTAAAACTGATTTTTTTCTCCTTAAGTATTTTGGCTTAGTAATTTATAATGAGAATTTCACTATAAATGAGGCCTTGAGGATAGTTTACTTGAAACAATATTTACTGCCCAAAGCTAAACAAACTAGGAAGTAGTAAAAATAAGTTAGGTTTTTAAATACATCCTTTACTTCAGATCGATAAATCGGCCCATGAACAACCACAATCGTGACTCAAATGCACAGCCTGCATTTTTCTTGTGTAAAAAAACCCTAGGAAAGCTCAAGTGTTCGGTTACTTTAAATTAAGGTAACGCCTTTTATCACATATTTGAGTTTTAAGCCTGGCCTTGATCAGTTTCAATAATTATTCAAACTAATTTATCCCTTAAAAAACTAGAAGGAATGCCTTGTGGCATTATGTCTTTTCAGGTTTTCGAAGAAATCTTCCCTATGATTTATAAAAACACGTACGTCATTATTTTGAGAGACACAATTTTACTTAAACAAACCATGACCTTTTTGCCGTTTTACATCACTATGTTGACTCCCTCGCAAACAATAATGTTAAAGGTGACTCTGAATTCTTCTCTTTACCTTATTTGGTCTTATTATTTGTTTTCAAAATAAATATATAGCCTCAGGACTAATGCAATTGATTCATACTCTTCTGGCAGTTCTTAGGAACAGTACCTAAATACAAAGTAATAAATAAAACTACTGCCAAATAATCACTGACAAAAGAATAAGACATTAGCTAGAACAGTTTGTCAAACATGTGTAGCGAATTTTGGTGAAAGTATGGTACAAATATTTCCTTAATATGAGTAATCATGGTGAAGTAACAATGTATCATAGTTTAAACGGCATTACACGCTATTTAAATTAGTAAACTCCATTCATATTGACAACGTCAACATGGAGTTGATTCAATCCTTACAGCAATTTCATATTAATTGATCAAAATTGTACGACTGATTTAGGATTGTACCAATATTAAAATACTCAGTTGTGTGCATTTACTGTAGCTTGGTTTCAGCACACTCATTTACAGATCGGGGATCGAGTCTTGTGGTAGAGCGTAATATTCGGTCTCTGAGGTCTTCGGGTTTAAATCCGCCAAATCAACAATAGATTTTATCGAAGTGATAATGCCGCCAGCCCCGAGGTCTAGCCTGAAGTAGTGTGAAAAACAATCCTGAGCTCGTGCCTAGCGTCCTAGAAAAATCTCTCTTACTATTTGTCGCGTTTAAGAAGATTAATCACCATCAAAACATGTATAAGATTATACAGCAGGACGATAAGTCTAACTCTAATATCTTTAGGTGATGAGAATATCGTCAAAGTATGCTTACATTAAATTTCCAATAAATCTTCTGTCACCTTTTCAGAATATTTAAAAACCTTATTATCATAAGTAGGTAGGCTTATTCTCTTGAAGACTAATTGATTTGGAGGTGGTAGGTTAGTTCCGCAGATAATAACCCTAGGGCCATAAATGGGTAGGTTCGTTCCGCATTTGAATCTGGTGGGCCCCTTAAGTAGGTAGGTTATTTCCGCATTTATATTGACAAAGGTGGGTTACACTCCATTAGACAAGGGTAATTAGCCTCACTAAAAGCCGACGTAGAATGAATATTGAAGAAATTTAAGTTAAATATCCAAAGATTGGATACGCTTGTATCCGATTCGAAATTCGGAATATTTATGATACAAACTCTACATATTTTAGGTTTAGGATGTAAGAAAATCGCCTGTTTCATAAATGTTAACAAAATTGATCTTAGTAATAATACTGATTTGACTATTTAGTAATAATACTGCACAGATACCGTACACACTATGATTAGTTGTGATAATAGTTATGTAAAAAATCTATGAACACACAGAATAGCACGCGGTCTAGATGCTTGAATTCTCCAAGTGATTGCAGCCACATACCATCCTCGCGTACTACAAATACTCTCTTCCCCCGATTCCCATATTTTAGGAAATATTTTTTTGGGAATTCCTAGAAATATTACACCGCATTGTTTACTACAGGGAATACAGCAGAGAACATATTTAGTTTGTTGTCAGTATTTACAAGACGTATTTATTATAACTGTTATTATCCATGCGTATCTATGCGTATCTGTGCGTATCTGTGCGTATCTATGCGTATGTATTTCCATTAGTTGCATACGCTTTTAATAGGGTCTTTTAAACTCATAGAAAATTATGACTACTAGTTTTAATATAGCTTCTGTAGTGCCGGTACTAGACAACTGCTCGATTTCGAGCAACAGGTACACTAGTTTTGTTTTATATTTTTAATTTGTTATAAGATGCTTACAAAGTTTAAAGTTTTTCCTGTGACAGGTTTAGTTTACCAACTGAGCTATTAGTCCAGGCGCTAAACGGGTTGAGTATGCACTGAAAGTCTGACAAAATTTGACTTTTGATTATTGTTGGGGACATCTAGTAGATGAAAAAAAATCGATGATGTCGCATTTCTAGGGTGGTCACAACTCGGGGGGGAGGGGGGGAAGTTGCGCGGGTCATCGGTTTACGTTTCCGCGTCTAACTCACAAACGGTTAATGATAGAAAGGTGGTTTAAGCGTCTATCAACGCCTAAATATATTGTCCTTCAAAAAGGTTATTACAACCTTTCTTCTATCTCTTATACTTTAGGCGCTAATCAACATTTATTGCAAAAAATAAAATTTTAAAATACTAAAAAATAAAATATCGGAAATATTGCGCTTGTTTAGGGCATGATACAAACTATGTATGGTTAGAAAAACTAACAAGTAGTACAACAGCACCAAGTTTAAAGAAATCTGTGCAAAAACAACAGAGCTACGTTGATTTCAGTAAGAGTAAACGTGGAAAATTCGTAGTAGTATCGAGGCGCGCATGGATGGTACGTAGCCCACAGTCAATATAGGTTTGATGTTGTAAGTAACTATGGGAAAGCTGAATTTTTCTATGCTGTTAGACCATGTTGAGATGATCATTTTCCCGAAAGTCAACACTCCTCCCCCCTTGTGCTTTCCTCTAACCCCCCCTTTAATAATAAAATTTAAATGTAGCCTACTGAGAATCTGAATTTTTCCTACAAACAGTTAATAATTCATAAAACAAACCTGTTACTTTTATAATTTACTTTGATAGATACTCAACAAACAATATTTTATAATTTTTTAAATTACATAGATATTTCTCATTTTTGTATTGATATCTCAATTCTTAAATTTAATAATTAAACTCCATTATCAATTCCCACCCTTTACTCCACGCCTCTTTAAGATAATTTCCAAGTGCCCGCCAATCTTTGCCATTAAAAAATTAAAAAAAAACTCATATTCATTTAAATATAACTTGTTGGACCAAAATTGACGTATCTTTTTTTAAACTGGACATTCTGCTATAAAAGGGTACACGTTTTTCCCGGTTGAGATTACATAGTGAACATACATAAATTTTATTTTCCATATAGAGTTAACTTTTTATTAGACGACCCCCTTTATTTGTAAAAAATGTTTTTAGGGATAGTTACGAATAAAAAAATATATCCACCATTTTCCAATATGGCCAACAACTTTGTTATTTCTTATGGAATACGCTGTATTTTAGTATTCTTTTAGAATTTAAAAGCTATTTTTTTATTCGTGACATTTTTTCTCTAAACCTATCCCATTTAGGAGTTACAGCGTGTTATATCTAAAAGAAAGGCTTGTGGTGTACATTCGGCATCCTGTAGCTCATAAACGAGTAAGTTGAGGGAGAAAGTGCAAATAATACACAAGTCACATATAAGTCCTCG